AAATATTTACAAAGATATAAATATTCCCAATAAAGAGTAATTTTGATGTTGGTATTTTCTATAAATTAAGTTTTCAACTTTTAAGGGTTTCAAAGAAATGTTTAAAAGTGCTTTATGAAAATATTCTCGAGCAGTGTATTGAAAAAGTTTAAATTATTGAATCAATTACAAGCTACATAGCGCTACTCATTCTCCTACGATTTGATAATTTAAATAATCGAGAAATCAAAGTATTCAGAATAAATAGAAATTTGCAAAGTTGGGTAAGATAAGTGATTCAAAAGCATTTAATTAGAACGCTGTTTTTGTGTCTCGGTATGGATTTAATCAGCTTTTAACAATTTAGGTCAATAATTCCTATCTAAGTAAATCTTTTCAAAAAATGATTAATTAGTATAAAAAAAATTATCATTAAAAAATTTACTTTATAAGATGAGCTTCGTTCACAAATGTCTTTGCAATGCCTTCAATAAAATAAACTAGTGATTTTCTCATCTAAATGTCATATTAGGTGATTCCACTTATACTGTATACATATCTTCTTATGTAGATTTTCTATTTAAATATTTAACATTTTTTTAGAACTGTGTTTTTTGTTTTAAGTTTTGAAAGGTTGGTGGTCAGTAATCAAAGAAAAAAAACTTTTTTAAATCGTGATGGTGGATGAAGGAAGTGCAAGAGTGTTGAGTTTGTGGGTTGTATGCTTTTGAATGAACATCAATGAAGGTGTCGTATGAGAAAAAAATTATAAAAAAATCATTCTTATGCCATTCAGAAGCTTCTGACGAGCTTTTAGTTTATGCAAATTTATTGAAAGCTCATTTACTCGCTGTCAAAAACTCCTTTGAAAGGCGCAGTGATTGAGTGAAAATGAAATTTCAATTTCTTGCGATTAATACTTGGTTTATATTTTAGAAAAATTCATGATAGTCGAAAAACTTCGATTGTTTTGTGGGATTAAGATGAAATTATCAAAATAAAAAGGTGACAAAAAAGGTTTTGCTTGTGTTTTTTGGTATTTTTTTATCTCTTCAAACAAATCAAGGTTTTTTTGTAAATATTTTGTTGTTTTTTGAAATTCAATTTGCTTGGAATTCATTTTTGGCAGTACCTCCCAATCTCTTTTTCGGACTTCATGTTCAAGATCCCATTTCTGGCCTTCACATAAATACATTCGCTCGTAATATTCTTTGCAAATATCCTTCAATAGTGCTGTTAGGATAAAGATTAAAAAATAATAACAAAGTTCATAACTTCTTGAGATTTTTAGTTCAATTGCTTTCGCTAATGATGACGTAACCATATGAACATAAGGATGCATGAGAAAAAGATACTTTCGACTGAATAAGCTTACTATAAGTGCGATATTTGTGTGAGAAACTTATTTTAGTAACTAAAAAATATTTTTTCCCATTTCCAACTAAGATTTTGTTTTGTTTTCTAAAGAAATGGTGAAAAAAAGTGTAAAGAGAGGATCAATCTTGTAATGAAACGGTTCCCGTGTAAAGTTTTTCGAATACGAAGTTTGGACTTAAAACGTATTGCGGAATGAAATAAGTTTTGAGTAACCAAAAATGTTTCTGAAGATTAAAATTAACTTGGTAACAAAACCAAATCAAATAAAGAATAAAAAAAAAACTTTCAAGATTGTCAAAAACGAATAATAAATATGTAATTAATGATAAAAAGGGAAGCAGCCACTTTGTGTTTCATAATAAACAGATTAAAAAAACTAATTAAATCATTTTAAGAATTTTAATTTTGTCAAATTCCAAAGTAATAAAAAAAATCGAAAAAAAACGTCAATTAAATATCCAAACTCTAAAAAATTGTATTCACTTTTTTGTTTTGATTTAAAATCAATTTTTAGACTAAGTAAATTAGAAATATAAGTTCGAAATTTCCAAATAAAAAAAACTAAATTATAATAATTATATGTATATAAAAAGTTCGTGCGGGTATCCGTTTTTACCTCGAGATTTTTATATTGCTCGATAATCTCTAAATCATATTTGTCACCTTCCAATCGTGAAATTTTATTCCAATATTCCTTACAAATTGTTTGTAGCTCAGCTAAATGAAGAATTTCAATAGATATAGATAGAGAGATAATTGTTTACAAAAATGTTTATTTTTGATAGTTTTCTTGTGTATTTAATTGAATTTCATTGTAAGAGAAAGAAATTTTTCTTCCTAGAAAATAAATTAATAAAAAATTCAAGTCTCTAAATGAAAAATTGTAATCGATAGAGTTTAATTAACAAGGCAACTTAAGATGACGCATTATAAATTGTATAATTTTTCATTTTGTCTAAAAACAGCCAATCGATATCAAAACAAGTTGAACTAGTTGATGATTAAGGATAGGACCAATTCAAGTTCGTGTTTGATTTTATAAAATTCTTTGCCTTATCTTGCTGTTAAAAAATAAGCAAATAAAAATCCGTAGAGTTACGCATAAGGACATTGAGGCTTTCGTTTTCGATCAGAAGACATCAATAATATCTTTATGTAAACACAAATTAAATAATTTAATTTTAACGAGCATTGTTAAGAATTGAGTTTAAGAGAAAATTATAAAAATATTCTTACAACAACAGGGCAATATAATAAATAAAATTTCTATCCATATTTTCATATCTTTGAAATCTAAAAATTATATAATGCGTTAACATAATTCGATACTTTAATATTATTTAATTAATCTTTAGAATATAAAAATGCAAATGTACTGAATAAAAACTTTTTTGAGTCTTGCCTCATACTCTTTACGAGCGACTTCATACTCAAGATCGATCTTTTCTGTTTCCAGACGATTAATGAGTTTTTGATAATCTCTACAGATGGTTTGAAGAGATGCTAATCAAAAATAATCAAAGTGTTTTTAGTTAAAAAGTCACTTAAATACGAGAATAATATTTGAACGTTTGACATCCTGAACTTTCTCAGGTAATTTCCAAAGATTTGTGCATGGTTGATAAAAGGTGAGACTTTTAATAATGAATCTTATATGTGAAAGAAAAAATGACGTTTCACAACAAGATTTGTTGGCAAAAAAAAACATAATGCAATAAAATGTCACAAGATTATGATAAAAAATGTGTCAATCAAAAAACAAAATCAAAAATCAAATCTTTCGTTAAGATCAAAAACTGATTAACGACAAAAAATGGCTTAAAACTTATTTTTTTTCTGGTTTGATTGGGTATTGAAATAGCTTAAATTATGCTTGTATTGCTTCATTTATTTTGTACACATTAGAAAAGAAAAAGAACGAACAACATAAAGTTTAAAGGAAAAAAGAAACTAAAAAAGTAAAAATTATTAGAAGTCATCACGATTGGCAGAGTTTCAAGACTTTGATCAGCATTAATATTTAATGATTATGTTCAACACCAAATAGAAAAGTTCATTGAAAAAAAAGAAAAGAAAAAGAAGGTCGCTGATAGCTGTTCACGGCCACTAGAACTATTGTATTTCAGTTTTATGTTCATTTTAATTTTAAAAAAGTTTAATATTTTGAAAAATTTGTCATATTAAAATGAAACAATTAATAAAATTAAAAATTCAAAAAAAAATTAGAAAAAGAGCTTTAAGAGTTAATCGAAACAAAAAAAGGCTTTTGGTTCGTTTCTTTTTAAATAAAATATCGGCGTTTAGATAGTTTTGTTTTGTTGTTTTCATGTCAATGTGTACCTGGTAATCTTTTCCCTTGACAATATACTCGAAATCGTACTTTTCATTCTCCAATCTTTCAATTCTTTTATGGTATTCACGACAGATGCTTGAGAGAGCGTCTAAGGTCATTAACAGATAAGACGATCATTAAGGGTTCTTTTAACACATTTTATCATCATTCATTGTCGCAATTGACGATATCTTCTTTTTGATGATAAGTAGCGTTAATGATTAAAATTTATGAGTGCATGATATAAGAAATATTAAAAAAAGAAAAAGAAAGAGACTTGACGTTGGACGGGATTAAATATCCTGAAGGAAAAATCTTGTTGTGTTTATAGATTTATACATCTACATGTTTATCAATTATAAATATCATGGATATAACAGAAAAATAATCTACAAGTATCATCAAATGATGTATAAAGATGATCTAAATTGAATCGACAGGAATGAAAAATTATATTGGAAGCTTTCAGGTATTACGCTTATCACTTCTTCTCTACTTCGTTTTCTAACATAATATCTGAATTTTCCTTATAAAATGCAATATTGAAAATATGATTGGGAGCAAAGAGTTGGTAAAACTAAAGTAAATACCTTCGTTGGCGTTGTCAATCATCTTGGGCTTGCCGCATCGTTCTTCAATGATGCGTCTACGTTCGGCAGCTTTGCGTTCTTGTTCCTTCTTCAATTCCTCAGCGGCTTTTTTACGCAACAACAACTAATGGAGTAAATTATTGTTTAGATAGATGTTAAATCTTTATATCTGACACTTTACTCACTCTGAGTTTCTTCTTTCTTTCTGGTGTCATGAAACCTTTCTTGGCCTTCTTAGCCTTAGAGGCTTCCTCCATACGCTTACGCACTTCAGCGCGTTTACGCTCGATTTCGGCCTGTTTGGCCTTCTTTGCCTATTAATGATTCATATGTTTACATTCTAATTATTGATTTAAAATTATTCTCGAACATTTACCTCATCATCAGCCATAATTAATTTCTAAATGTATGGAACAACTGCAAACAACGGAAGAAGAAAAAAGATTTATTTTGTATTGTTAGCATTTCACTACAGTCGTAAAAAGTCGCAGGCAATTTGGAAAAAAAATCCGTCATAACTTTGCTAGTTTTTCAACAAAGTCGATTTAAATGATGGCAGAAAAATGTGTAGGAATATTAACGATAAATATTCTGTGAGGTGATCAGTGGCGGACACGAAATTTTACAGCAGATATCAATGCAATGCTGACCAGAGAAAAGCAGAGTGGAAACGAAAATAGAAAATTAGCCTCGAAGCCAAATTTGGTTTGGTATACATTCACACGTTGTTCATACCAAGAGCAGACAGTTTAAAAAATTTTCACGTTTTTATATCGGATTTCAATATTTTTCATTTTCACGCAAACCGCGAAACATTTTTCTTTTAGTTTTCTTCATTTTCATAATGAGAGAAATGAAAATGATCTCAAAAGAGAAAAAAAGACGAATTTTGTAACAAAATCAGATATTTATTTATAAGTTAAGTCATGCTCGCCACCCACACAACACCTTCAAGAATGCAAAATAAATTGCTTTACACATAGCAATTGAAATCATAAACGAGGTGGATGAGTTTTAAGTCTTCACTCGTTGACATTTCTTTTTCAATTGACTGACGAAAGCGAAATTAGGGGCGCCGTGTTTTTTTGCTTGGTGACAGATAGTAATTCATAATTAGAAACTGTGAAGGTTGAAAAGAAATTTGTAGCTTTAGGTGTGAAATGAAAATGAATGAAAACTTTTAAAAATCGATTGATAGATGAAAGATGAAAGGTGTTTCATTATTTATGACTGTTTATAAGTTTTAAACGATGGAAAGTTTTCTTCAAATATAGAAAATTGTTAAAGGAAAATATTTAAGACAAACAAAAATTGAACATTAATGAATAATTTAAGAATTGAAAATGTCCAAACATTGTTATAGTTTCATGAAGTTTTAAAGTTATATTTTGGAACTTATAAATACGTCACCGCTTAGTTTTATAAAATATTTTTCCTTCTGAAACATCCACACATATTTCTAAACAGAAGAAAAACTATCACATACTTTTTCGTTATATTTCTGATTAAAACTGAAATGAAAACTTTTCAGTATATTTCCGTGATCGTGCGTGGGAATTTTATTCGAAAAACAAGCGCATGTTACGTATTCAAAATGAATGAAGAGAGGCATAAAAAAAATTATAGAAAGCAGAAATTTTCAAATCTTCTGATGAAAATTTCGTGTCAAGTAATGTAAGCCGAAACTATCTGTTGATTCTCCTTGTCAGTGTGAAACAAAGCATAAAAGTTTAAAATTATTATTTCATTTATGATGTCATCAGTGACATAAAGAAGTCAAATTATTTCAAGTTAATTCTTCAAAGATGACACGAATAAAATATGAAATCAATTTTGTGATGGACTTTACATATGAACTTCAGGAATGTCGCTTTCGAAACCTGCCCAGAGCACGACGAAATTTTTCTTGTATCGAATCATCAAAAATTTAATTTTTCTCATAATACTCATACACACACACAAAGGAAAACACGAGATATTTTTCATTTTTTCATCTTTCGAACGATCTACTAGAGAGAATCTAATTTTAAAGACACGAGAAGCAAAAACTGTGAAAAAATTTTTCATGTTGGCGTATAACAAGTCGGCACAAAAACTTCTTTTCACTCCAATTGCTCAAGGAAGATTTAAAATTTTCATAGAGAAAATTTTTCACAAGGTCTTTGAATTTTCTATTAATTAAAATCTAATCCTTTCAGCGTCACAACTTTCATGATATCACAAAAGAAAGTCATCCAAATTCATCACTTGTATCAACAATGCATGTTATTCATTCTTAATCAATTTTCATTGAAATCTCTTTCATTGAGTAATGTAAAATTCTTTCATCTCCAGATTAATGCTGATTTCTTCAGTAAGATGGTAAAAAGTATCCACTTGATCCACCTCTGCGTGTAAAAATTGCGTAACTGAATCACTGACTAAAGATTTATTTTTAGCACTTTTCTGCTTCAATTTTTTTTTCTTTCATGAATTCTTTTTTTTGCTTTGCCTTTCGTTTCATCTTTAAATCTTTTGTTCTTTTATATAATTTCAATATAATTGATCACTGTCATCACTTAAGACTGGATAAGTTTTGATAAGTTATCATTGCTGGATATTTCATTTCCTTATTCGATTTTTTCTCCATCGAACTCACCTCGAAAGAAACACTAAGGAAAATAGAAATTCTTATGCTTTTCAAAGGATCGGACCAAATAACTGATCAATCCGACGAATAACGGCTGACTGAGACGAGATGTTGAGCAAAAGGCTGCTCGGCGCGATGGATTCAATCGGAAGGTGATCGTGCTAGATGAAAAAAAAAACGAAAAAGCCAACACTCGTTGCGCTGAAGAAATAACTGGGCACTAGTGTGTTGATCTAAAATTGGAGTCTCACGATGCTAATAATAGGAATTTCGTGTGTGCGAGAGTTGAGCACTTGGTAGTGTTTTGATTCGTGCGAAATGATTTTGCAGAAGATCTCCTCTAACGATGAGAAGGAAACGAAAATCCTTCAAATCTTTTCAAATCTGATAACCCGCAAAAGCAATTGACGAAATATTGTTTGGTTTTAAAACTTTTAAATGAATGCCCAGAGATAAAATTTTGTGAACCAAAATATGTGAAAGAAAAATAGTGATGCATGGGATTTGTCTTGAAGGAGAATGCCCGATGACATTGAAGCTTTTCTTTCAATCATGAACAGAAAATAGAATTAGGCTTTAACATTTAAAAGTCAAAAGCTAAGAAAGAAAGCTTAATGTTGGCTTGAAACCTTCAAATATTTGATTTCGCCTTGGTTTCTGCATATATTCTTGGAACATCAAGTATATCGCAAAGAGTAAAAATTATTTTTGAAGCATCAACAAGAAATATGTTGGGCTAAAAATAGAACTTTCGTTGCATGTAAACAATCACCACCACACTGAGCATACCACGTACTTTATTAGTGATTGTGTTGAGGATTTACTAACATTCACTCATTTTCCACCTTCTCATATGAATGAAAGGGAATCGGGAAAATGCTTTTGGTATGAATGTGTTGAAACTCACACACAAAGCTTGGAACACATGCGAGCACGGGTAGTTCCAAAGCACTCAGTCAAGAAGACAAATAATAAGAGCGCAATTTCGTCATCAAAGCTTCAACTCACAGGCTTACATTTAAAAAGAAATAATAAAAAAAGACAAGAACAGATTGTTTAAATTTAATTACATTTTCTATTATTTTTCTCTTTGAGGAGTAAAAATTATAAAAATCATTTCACTTAGAAACAATTTAAGGTACTTAAGATAGGTCAGCGCAACTGTCTGAAGATTGTGCGTGTTCTGAAATAATCTTTGCATTCAATGTTATTTAAAGACCAAAACATTAATGAAAGAAAGCTTTCCAGAAACATTAATTGAAGTTCATAAGACGAAAACAACAAACATTTCTCGTTCATCTGTAAATACTTAGCATGACAAATATTCTTGCGTCAAATATAAAATTAGGAAGTTGTTACATCTTAGACAAACCTTCGTTGATGCGGAATTATTCAACAATTATGAAAGCTCTGACGTGCAGAAAGAAGTCGAAATAAATGGAAATTATGAAACATATCCGAAATAACATAAGAAATCCTAAAATAAAATTTCCTGTAACTCTCTAGTGATTACCTTGATGATTACCAACAACTTTCTTTCTTTGGAAATTTTGAAAGGTTCAAGTTTGTTCTAAGAAATGTTTTCCTATTAAATGAAAATTGTTTTCATGTTACCAAGACGGTAAAGGTTTTAATTAGAAAAGCTCATTATATGATATATTAACAATTTTATCGTAAACTATCGAGTTACATCCTTACATATCGATGTAACTTGTATTACCTACTTGTGATATCTTTCAACAATATTCATCATTCACTTTATTTTAATGAAAAGACATTTGATTTTCAATCAAAGTGACCGACATTGTCAAAATTACTATAATTAAATTGAAAAATGAAAAGATTTAAAATTCAATTAAATAATTTCCTGATTTTTCATTATTTTTAGTCTTCTGTTAAATGAATTCTGCATTTATTAAACCGGGAGAGAAACTATTGACGTCATCAGTGTGCTAAATTTCCAGCGAAGGATATGAAAATGGGAATAACACAGCAGAGACTACAAGGTGCTTTTTTTATTTTAAACTTTGAAAGCTCTTGGAATTCTGAAAAATCTATATGAGAAAGTAATGAAAATGAGGGAAATAATTTCTAGGACAAGAAAATTGGTTCTCTTGCATTGATGTCTGCTTGAATTTTACATTCAAAGCTATGATTCCTTCCCAAAAAGTGGGATAGGAGGTTATTCTAAAAATAGCAACTGCTGTTCAATCACCCTCAGTGTGGGGTAAAATTTGACCTATTTTCTCCGATGACGTCAGAGGAAAGTTGACGTTTTGCACATTTTCTTGCACTGTGAGTTTGTTTTGTTGTTATCATAGGTTATTTTAAGCAGATGAAGTTTAATTCAGAACTTTATATCAACAAAATTCCATTCATACGCCACTGATTTATTTATTCTGAAAAACATTAATTTAAAATAGTTCAAATAGAAAACTTTCGAGGAGATTTTTTATTTGTAATAGTTTGACGTCATACGATTGCAGGATAAAACTTGTTGCAATAAGAGATTTACATGTTTGCATACAGTTCAATATATTTCGCAAACACTAAATAAGAACGTCATAAATTGATCATTGCAGGTAGCAGGGATTTGTAAAATTTACTAAGAATCCCAGAATAGCCCACAACCTACATAAATATCAAAGGAATCTTTTGGAAACATAATTTAAAATCACATTTAGTTAGTTTCTCTCGTCATTAAGGTAACGTAATGATTTCATCTAATTAAAGTTAATTATATACTACTGCAGTGCACTGTAATGGAAATCAAGATTCATGTTTTGTTCAAGATGTGAATTTACTTTAAATTGAAGAAATTATTTATGTAACAACATGTTTTTTATTTCATTATTTGTAGTGAAATATCTATTGAAATTAATACAAAAGCTATCAGCATGAAACAGACCTGAAGTTCTGCAAATTGAGTTATTTGAAAGTGCAGATATTTTGGATGTTCCACTTCTCAAAATGCAAATACATTAAGATCAACTTTCATAATTTCAGTTGAAAACTATGATGGATAAACTTCTATTTCCATTTTTCAGCATAAATATTTCTAGAATATCAAGAAAGCACAACTCATTAATTTCTTTTAATAGAAAAAAAGGCCTTAAAGGTGATAACAACTTATGATGAGTTCCAACTTTTCCTCCTGATTTTAGTGACAATATTTACCCTTAGGAATAATGAACGGATATGCCAGGATAACTTCTCAAATTACATAAATCTCTTTTACCCTATATATGTTATGCTACTGACGTCATCAAAGCTTCGAGCCAATAGAAAATCGGAAGAAAATTTCATTCAAAATAATAAAATCATTCAATAAAAGCAGTCTAAAATGTTTGAGTGTGTCAGTGGAATTTGTCGTATGAACATGAAGGATTCACAAATCCATTGAAATAATGTCGACATCGTTTGTTGTAAGAACGCAAAGAGGTTTTGGTATTGAATCACATTTTACTTACACCACTTAACTCGTGAAGAAGGATACTTTAGCGTTCACACAAGCTTTCAAGCAAAGATATTTTTTGTTCACAATATTTCTGTTCTCATCCTTAAGCAGTTATCAGTTGAATCTCGATTTGAAAAGAAGTGTTTTTGAAAAGCTCAGTAAAAATATATTTGTACTATGATGAAGTATTAACAATAATTACACAAATTATTTTATCTTAGCTAAGGATTTGTTATGCCAATAAAATATCATGGCAAAGTGTAACATTAAAAAAAAAGAATTGATCAGTGTAAAGTGATCGAAATTCTAAATTTCATATAAACAAAAATAAAAGCTTTTCAAATAGGTAAACAGTAAATTTCTCATTCATAATTTAGAAAACAAAATTTAACAATTTTCCTCGAAGAAAATTCTATTCTAAGTAAATGTACTTTACGAGAAAAAAAAATTAATAACGAAATATTCGAGGTCAAAAATGATGCTGATTTCTACGCTGACGTCATTCGCATGTAATTTATCTTGCTATATAAGTGAAGCATTCTTACATATACATTTTTCTCCCTCTCTCTCTCTCAATCTGATTTTTTTTTCGAAAAAACTCTTAAGTTAACAAACCTTACATCTCCGTTATGAACAAAATATTTATCCTCAGATATTTTATGTTTGATGACGACAATTGAAAGATATCTTACTCGTTTAATTTTATCACGAACATTATCTAAGTTCCTAGAGTTTGTGACGGTAATTTGTGATTACTGATTACTGAAAACCTTTTCAGGCATTAACCGTTTACATAAAGTTCCTCACGAAAGGCTTTTTCACAGAAACAAAAGCGTATTTCTAAAAATAGCTTTTTTCGTTCATGACGTCATTAAACATCCCTTGTCGTTTTCTCTTTTTTGCAACCACCTCGTTCCTTACTCTTATGCAAAAACTTCTATCGCTCTCTTCAACAATGCTTTTTATCGAGAGCTTTTACAAACGAGAAATAAGGGCTTCGATTGTTTTGTTTAACATTAATTAATTAGACAAGGAAATTGTAATTTTTTATTATTAAATTGAAATGTTTAAAGATTTGTGTAAAATTACAAGAATCAATGATCCTGAGCCTTAGAATTTTATGAAATCCTCTCTAGCAAATATAAAGAAGATGAATCTACTATCGCTTTCCAAAAAAAAAAGAAGCACGCAATCGTAGAGAGGAAAATCTAAAAATAGAATTTTCATACTAAATGTTAGAGCGAGATGGAAAAAAACTTTTCCTTCTTTATTTTTTTATTTTCACTCACTCTCTTGCAAAGCTAAAAATAAATTTTCTTTTTTCGTTATAAAATACGATTTTTTCTTTATTTTATTCATATAGTGATATAATTATGATGTCAAACTTTATGCCACACTTGCTTCTGTTGTTATGAAAGCTTTCTGCAAAGCTACGTGTTACTTAATATTTTTATTTATTTATCTACGATAAAAATTTATAGAACGTTGATTTCCACAGGGTTTGAGATTCTCAAATCATTATTTTATGAAGATATTTTAAAACTCGAGTATGAAATATTTATATGCTAAGTCAAAAGCACATGCATTATGTATTCACGAAATCGATATAATGTTGTGAAAGAAGTCAACCCATATTGATGCGACATCAATCGATTTTAAGTTGAAAATGTAATCAATTAAGAATTTAAAAAAGAGTATCTTAATGAGATATTGATCACATGTAATTAGTCTAATATTCAATAAACAAACATATGAACTAGTTTTTATTTATTAAGCTTGAAATTCGAAACCAGTACAATGACATGTAATCAACTAAATTGAATCATTCAATTATCTTATTCTTAAAATTCTAACTGTTTAAATTAACAATTTCTTTCATTTGTTCAATATTTGAAACATTGTAAAGGCTCAGATAGTTTACATACACTTAGAAATGCATGAAAAAGGACAAAAGTGATGCCTTATAAGTTGTTACATAGAATCACATGCCTGTTTTCTTGATACTCTTATCCTCAATAACAGTATTAAAGTGAAGGTATTTTCAATAATGCAGAGGTGGAGAAACTTTAATTCGTTTTCTTTTACTTTAATCGATTTAGTAATCATCAAACTAATTGATGTTCTTCATTAAATAAATCTCATGACGTTTGAAATAATTAAACGCTTAAATAAGAAATTTCACAATCGCCTAATTCATTTCTGCTTCAACGTATTCGATATTCGATACATAAGGAAAACTAATGTGATAACATAAAATGTGAAGAGGGGAGGGAAGAGCACTTTTAAATATTCAATTCTTCCCCCAATATGAGCTTATTAGTATTAGGAAATAGTTGTTGTTCGGTGGACTGTTTTTATAATTCCTTTGAGCGATTGAGTGTCTCGAAGGAAACCATTTAATTGCTATAAAAGGCGAAGGCATTCTCCAAAACTACTCAGTTACGTGTGTGTCATTTATTTAAAAAGGACGGTAGAGTAAGTAAGACCGCCTACAACTTTATTACAAAGTTTGAAGAAATTTGGATAAAATATTTAAATCACAACTGGAAAAAGTGTCGTGTGCTTTTGAAATAATTTTTTTTATCGGATATTGTGGTAAAACACAACATCTGGATGGATCGCATCATTAAAAATTTCTAGACTAATTTTCTATTAGAATTGTTCGATATTGAATGAAAACGTATAGTTTAAGTTATGAAAGTTGCTCTAAATATTCAAAAACATACAAAAAATCTCAATCAAACTAATGAGTTTCATAGCGTGGAAAGAAATCGTCTCAAGTGACCAATAACAAAAATTGTCCTTTTAACTAAATTTCCTTCCTTCCCTTTTTATTTTTCCCCCCCAACATTCAATGCCACTTAAATCATTTAACTCACTCAAGAGACCTCCTCAAATGACTTTTTATTGGTTTTTAAAAGACTTATCAATAAATATTTAAAGTGATTAGATGCTATGAAGATCCCATGGAAATAGTTGAGTCGATAACAGCTGCTTCACATCACAAGATTAGCTTATAAAAAATATCTTGTGCGTGTTGACAGCGGCTGAAAGAGATTCAAAGAGACAACAAATGAAGGATCAACAATTCACAATGAAAAAAGGAAGAAAATGTCTTTAATCATACAATATGAGCTCTTTATTATCATTAAATGTTTATTTATCTCTAGAACTTAAAATATTTTCAGATGAAACGCCTCGTTGCAGTCAGTCATTGTTCTGAGTAGTTTTCAACAAAAATTTTCTTGTAGATTCCAAGTGAATTAATTTTATAAGTTGCAATGAGTTCCTTCTTCAATTCAACATAATTATTGAGAATATCAAGAGCAAAATCTTGCATCACAAGCTGAATGTCACTGAGAAAGTCACAGAATAAAATCGGTTCATCATTTTCCTTAAAACGTGTCGAACAAATTTGACTTCGTTGTATCAAATGATTTTTATGTTCTTCAAAATTCTCATCAAAATATCGAGTTTTCAGTGGAACCTGGGATCGTGAATCAATTAGAATTCGATATTTAATTAAATATTATCAAAAATCTATATTTACTTGTTCTCTTTCAAGCTTTTCGTGATATTCCTCGAACTCTTTCTTCAACGCTCCATATCGCTCAAGCCCAGGCAGTATTTCATCTAATGAACTGAATAATGAGTAAGAAGAAAGTCACCACAAGAAAAATAATTATAAATTCAAAGATAATTACTTTTCCATAGTTATTAAAGTTATTTTCAGATCTCTAAAGCAGCTTATACTCTTCTTAATGAAGTCAACTTTCACTGAATATGCGCTGTCAAGTTGCTCAACTTTGTGAAAACATTCCAAAGATTTATTAAATTGTGATAACATTAAATAAACATTGCATAAACTCCAAAAATTTTCAGCAACATTTGGAGCGTGATCAACGGCAGCTTTTATCACAACAACTGAATCGTTAATAAAATTTGATCGCTGTAGAATTGTTCCGAGGCTTAACAGAGGTATGTCTATGAAATTAAAGAAATGAAAGAAAGGTAAATGATATGTTAGATTAGGAAATGAATAAGTTTCAGATTACCTTTGTATTTACGAGGCGCTAAATGAATCGATCGACGTGCACATTCTGTAATGAGATGCGTATTGCATTTTTATGGCTATCGGAAAGTTATATAACGCTACTGATGCATACCTATTGCTTCCTTTGCATTACCCTTGAATCGCCAGTAAAATGAGCTTAATAAATAAAACTTCCAAGATAATGGATTACTTTTAAGAGATGTGTACATGATATGGGGAAAATTTGAATTTGAAATGCCTGTAATTGCATAAGAGAAAATTTATCATATTGAAGCACGAAACTGTGTAGACAATTTCGTTACCTAATTCCTTCGAGCCAAAAATTCCTTCGGCTTCCATTTTAAGTTTATGTCTTTTCTTCATTGATTCAAGGTGTTCAAAAAGGCCAAACGAGAAGTCAAGAACGCCAAATTCACTACATTTCGGCTGTGGAGTCTTTGATACTTTTTCTGATGTTGGTTTAAAATTAATTCTATTCAAATAAGTTTTTGATAATTGATTCATTGATAAATCAGACTCGTCAATGAAAAACTCAGGTATACAAGAGATTTTGTTTGGAAGCTCGTTAGAAAAGAGATCGAGACGATTCATCTTTTGCGTAAGGTTACTTTTAATCAATATCAGTTCTTTCATTAAATCATCAAGCTTTTTCTGAAATTCAAACAAAATTCATGAGAGATTAATGCCGACGATGATGCAATTAAAAAGTTCAAGGTTCTTACTTTGTAAACACTTTGATTTAAAAAAGCCACCAAGTCGTGTGAATTTTTCAAATAGTATGGTGAAGACAACTGAAATAGAAATAATTTTAAATGTTCTTAATCAAAATCTTTGAATCTTCTTTGATAAACTCACCAAAGGAATGATCAATTCATTTGATTGTATCCAATGCGTTACAGACTGACATGATGGAAGACAGTTTATGATAAAACATACCGTTACTAATTTAGCTATTTGCATCATCTTTACTGCAATGAAATGAGAAGATCCATTAATATTACAATGTTGCACCGTTTGTTTTAATCTCCCACCTTCGCAATTTTTTTATTTTAGTAATCAAAAATATAAAGCACTTTCACTGTTGTAGTATAAATAACAACGCATAATTGCACGTTATTGTGGTTTAAAGTTTATTTGATAAGATTGAGACCGTAAATACCTTAAGAACTAGTAAATTTCTTAAATTTATATAAAATAACAATGAAAATAAATGTTATGTTCTAAACTCTTTTCGTTCAGTGAAAAATGATTTTTATTAGTTCTAAAGTTTGAATTTATAAAAGCCGGTAAAAATTTACATTTTCCATCATTATTGAACAATTTATTCCAATAATATTGTAAAGCCTTCAAATATAATGTAAAATCTTCAAGAATATATCAAAATATGATCAAGTCAATAAATAACTAATGAAGATTAATTTGTAACAAACTAAGATTTATTTTTTATTAACATAAATAAATTCAATACGTGATACAAGACTCACAATCATGATTCAAACAATAAGTTTGACATACCCAATTATTTTTTTAAAGAGAGAAACAAATGTTGTTTAATTCTAACATCCTGCTACTCATTAAAAGTTCATGATATTTTCAAGATAACGGTTATTTTTCTACTTTGGAAGTTTCACTGCTTATTCAATGTTAAAACACCTTCGGGGGTTTATTTGTAACTCCATAAATATATTTTTAATTTAAAAGACGGATAATTGAAGAATTTCCTGGGAACATACATCTACGAACTTAATGTTAGTTTTAAGAGAAGATCTATTGCTCTCAGTGGAAAAGTGAAAATTCAAAGAAGTGCTTTCGTTGGAGTTTCATGGCAGCCAGTTTAACCTTGTCGAACAAGCAAGTTGGCAAAAGTGAAGATTCTCATCCAAGCAAATGCGTTCAAGTCAAGCCGAAGTCTTCGTGTATCTTGTTCTGCATTTTCAGTTGGAGAATGCTCTGAAGATTCAGAGGTAGTTCTCTTTTTTTCTGGTGTTTTCTTTTCAGCTGATTTCATCGATGGTGAAGTCATGTTGAATGCTAAAGCAGAGAGAAATAAACAAATAGTTAAAACTTTTGATTGTGTAAGGTCATGAAATTTCCCATCGCTTCCAATGCGCAATCTCTTTCTTTTTTCAATATTACGTCTTTTTATAAAATTAATCTGAAATTGATTGCATCTTTTGAACGATGAAAAAGAATCATAAAAAGATACGCATTCAAACACTTTTATGTTGTAAAGAGTACGAGTTATGAGAAGGGCAATAATATTCAGATTTATAAAGTTACAACACCCGAGACTCAATAAAAGAACAATTTCTAAAAAAATCAAAGCTAGAAATTGTCTTCAATCAATTCATAATAATTGTTGTTGAAATAAATGAATTGAAAGCATTCCAAATGAATGGAATACGATTCGTCATTTGAATGAAGCGGAATATTTCATTTTTGTACGCAATAGCAACACTTTAGCTTTTATACCTTAACTTTATGACTCGGCAACATGCTATGAGCATAAAAAGTTTTCGTGTTTTGGGACGAACTGTCATGATCATGAAATTTTCGTACTTTTATTAAAGTGAAATATTTTCCCATTCCTGTAATTAATTAAAGGCGCTTATTACATCCCGTAGAATGTTCATTAGATGTTAGCAGTCAAATAGCAGTTGTTAAAGAAACTTAATTATCTTATTGAGTTCTTTGGAAATTTTTATTGACTTTGATAAGTCAAAGGAAAGTTGAAAGTCGTAACATTTCAATTTTAACTTGCGGTAATCTTAAAACGCAGTAATATGAAACCAAATGTTTCGTTTTTCTTTATTTCTTCAAAAAACTATCAAATAAAATCAAAGCGGTTTGAGTGATTGTTGGCAACGTTGAGGCAAAGTGTTTTATGGTTTCATCTTCCATGAAATATTTTCTTTTTAAATGTCACTTTTTACTGCATTCATCAAAGAAGTTTTGATCATATTAAAACATTAAGCAAATAACAGAGAATTATGTAAATGCTTCCTGACATGCTTCCATATCGATCAGTAGCCACAGTCACAACACGATGTGTCGTGAATCACCGCATTTCATTAACAACTACGTTAAAACATTAGATAAAAGTTTACTTAAAAACATAATTTTGTTCACAAAAACTAACTCGACTGCTGTCTTGACCTAAATCGCCTTTGTGCGTATTCATTTCTCTATGTTTTTCTTTAGTCGTTTGTGTTGTCATTTTTTCACGACTGATATTATTATGTGTCTAATAAATAACATAAACACTCTAATCTCATCCAAGGCCAATATTTGCCTTGATCTTTAAACAAGCCCTAGAATTATGAAAAGTCTTTTGTCAACGTAATTGAATTTATTTAAGCGTCAAAGGAAACTAATTTATGTGGTAATGATTTTGATTATTTTCCAACTAATTATCGCTAAAAAAACGTTCTTCGTCATCGTTGAACGTTTTTGATGTGGGTAGTAAACGGAGACGTAAAATGATACCGTCTTCGTGTCATAAGCACGTGTAAGTTAACTTAATTTCGTTCATCGCAATAAAATAAATCTACGTTCATCGCAAAAAAAATATGAAAATATTTTCTTCCTACTAACATTTGGATAAATTATTTTGTTAAAAACGAATGTTTAGGTAATCGATTTAGTCTTTCAAAGCATCAATGAATATTTAAGTGCTTTTTACCCAGTTGATGCCATGCTATGTTATGTTATCTTATCAATAATTAATTATACACGCCTCTATGTTTACAGTGGCCTCGTAAAGCACTAAAACTCATAACATTTTACTGTGCAGTTATGTGAATATCAAATAGATTAGAACTATAAAAGACTGCTGTGTCTGGTTTTGTTTTCTTTTTTTAAAGTTTTCATGTTGCACATATTTCTATACAACCGAGGGAAAAATTTATTCTTTTTATCTTTATAAGCTGATTCTTGAATTAACCCAAGAAGAAATGTAACATGAACACTCGTTTCTAAACCAGGATGTGTATCTAGTTCTTATATCCTTTTTCTACAAAGAAACATTCCCATCATTTTCCAACAACAATTGGGACGAAAATTTCTCAAGATTACATAACATTTTATTTGGCTTTTATTTCCGTGTTATGAGTTTTTGTACCTTTTATGGAAAATTTCATAACTAGATACAAACTATTTATAGATAAAACTTAAAACATTTCTAAGAAGATTTCATTTTTCACTTGCCTTAAAAATTTCTTTTTCTTGTGATTAACAATCAAATTGTATAGTTGAATTGACAGTAATGAGATCACGACCTTCAATTAATACTCCCTCACTTAACTTTTGTTTTGATTATAATAATTTCTTACTTATGTTTAGCGCTCCACACTGTGAACAATATTAACCGCTTGCCGAGTGATACGAAAATGAATGAAAATTTTAAAGCTTGAAGAAAACTGTGGGAGCATAAGCAAGCTATGTGAAACGTCGAGAGAAGATTTTTTCATTGGAAGTCGTTGGAAATTTATTTATTTCATTTTTATTTTTTAAATTGTTCAAAATATGTGAATTTAATTCAATTGCATGTTTGTGAATTGATTTAATTAACTGAGAGTAGCAATTCTTAATTCATAACTTACATCAATGTTTTTTTAATTCGAGTGCATTGCAAGAAAAGCAAATTCACGAGAAAACTTTATTAATTTTAACGGTTTTTAGTACAAAATTTCAAACGTAAAACTGAAAAATATTTTCATTCACTGAACGTTTTTGTTTTTCTATAAAAATCATAATAAAATCTTAAATTTTTACGTGTAAAAATATATCAGGGAAACACAAGCCAGTAGTCAAACAATCATTGATCACAATCAAAAACTTTATATGGATAGTGAAAATTCAAAATCTTCACCACAACCACAGAAATGGGTAAATCAAACTTATTAATTTTTTATCCACATAAATATCAAAATAAATTTTTCAATAAAAAATTGTTTAATGCATTAAGGTGAAGCTAAATGTTGGTGGTAATATTTTTATGACATCGCGAGAAACACTTTTAAGAGATTCCAACTCAATGTTAGCGAGACTGGTCAGTGAATCTGACTTAATTTCAGACAAAGTAAGTTTTTTGATTTCATTTGTTCACATGCTAACTCATTATTTACTTTCACTTCAATTGTCTAACTAATGTTTCATTGATTTTATGATTTCTTTATAGGATGATACTGGAGCTTATTTGATCGATAGAGATCCAAAATATTTTTCTCCTATATTAAATTATTTGAGACATGGAAAACTCATTCTTGATGCTGGAATTGCTGCCGAAGGTGTTCTTGAAGAAGCTGTAAGTTGTCTTACTAATTCAAATCCGATATTTTCATTTTGAAATTTTCTTATTATTTTTTCAGGAATTTTATAATATCACACATTTAATTTCTTTAGTTAAAGAGCAAATTAAGATAAGAGACCAACATACAATTGTTGATAACAAACAAAGAGTTTATCGCGTACTGCAATGTCAGGAAAACGAGCTTACTCATGTGAGAGTTACTTAAATATTCATCACGCATCATTATTTTTTATTTGATTAAATTTGTTTATTTTTAGATGGTTTCACAAATGTCTGATGGTTGGCGTTTTGAACAACTCATCAACATCGGAACTTCGTATCATTACGGAAGCGATGAGAATGCAGAATTTCTCTTTGTTGTATCTAAAGAATGTTTAAGCAATCCTCGAGAACAAGAGTCAAATGACCGTGCAAAAGTGTTGCAGCAGAAGGGAAGCAGGATTTAAGAGCAATTGTTTTTAAATATTCATTCATTATTCGGCAAGAAACCCCAAACAAAACCAAAACAGAGACAGTTAACTTTTGAGAATATTGCGCAATTTCTTATTAAATGACATTAATTTAAGAATCGGTTCATGTTGTCTTTTTCCCATAAAAACAAGAAAAGCGACGGGTTCATGCTCATGTAGGTTACTAGGATCCGTAAGTTGACCCTTCCACCCACCGATATTTGGTGTTGTATCGTTTGAATCAGTTTTTAAGGGAAAAGAAATTACTCAAGCATACTCTAGAAAAAATAATTTAGGAATATCCAATATTTTCCTTCTTTTTCATGTTATTAAGTTCAACGATTCATATTTCTTGCATTTAAATCTTTATCATTGTTGTAATACGACTTAAAATAAATCTTTTTCATAAACTTTAGAAAAAATGATTCCTGAAAAAAGATTCTTCAATTTATATAAATTATTAAAAACAGTCCATGCTTTAAAGTGATGCTTACATATTCTTGTTTATTCGCAAAGTTCATTATTCATAAGCTAAGACAATATTCAAACGACGAATACGACGACGTGAAAATCGTATGCTTTTAAAAAAACTCGATTAATTAGGAAATAAATTTCATTAAAATGTTTCTAAGTTTACGCAACATTTAACAATAGAAATTTAAGTTTAAAGTAAAGAAATTTGTAGACAATTCTTACCTGTAATAAAGATGATTTTTAACTAAACAACATTTCTATCTTAAATGAGAAGAATTTTTTCCAAGGTTAACAAGAATCGAATTGTAAAAAAAGTGTTACAAGATTTTGTTATTGTAAAGAATCTTTAAGAATTTTTTATTTAATGATCTTAACAAATCATTTTTTAGAAAATCATTTATCATCATAAAGACCTCTGTAGAGATCAATGGAATACTGGAATAAACGTTTTGTATTTAATACTCCATAGCTGTTTCAGAAGAAGTTTACAAATCATTCCATGCTTATTAAACAACGATGTAATGAGTGCAAAGTAAATGCATAAACCGTTAATGTCGCAAGTTTTACTTACCATTTACGCTGTTCAAATGGATCAGTCTGATGTCGGTTGCTCTTTAATTGAGATGAAATAACTCATAAAGAACAACATTTCTGTTTAAAGATATTTCTTAAGCCTACCAGTTAAATATCACCCACATTTGCTTGTTGAAGTAATGAATATAATTCAATGCAATCTGCATCTGAAGGCGAGAATTGAAACATTTAGCTCTTGAAACTGCTTTTTGGAAATCTTAAATAAATTTAAATGTGTCAATTGAATGTCATGTTAATCTATCTAATAAGTACGCCTCTTCCAATCCCATTTCGTTATGCCCTCACAATTGTCTAATGAAAAAGGCACGATTATGATCAAAAAAAGAAATTTCACAACATAAATTTTGATGAAAGATAATTATAATGACATCAGTGGAGTTAGAGTGAAAATATATTTAAAAATTGATTCAATTAATTATTTCCTTTACCATTGTCATCTCAAATCGCAACGTAACATTTCTCTGAAAAACTTATTGTTTTTTTGTTCAATTAGGTATTTCTCAATTTTAATTCAAGGTGAACAACTTTGTGGTCGGAAAAGAAAATACGAATTAATTCGTGTGAATATGCTGTGCATATATATAGAAGTAAATTCAAATGTGTTTATTTCAAAGATGACCTTTACAGTCAAACACCAACAATAGTAGTAATTATACAGACAGTAGCCTGGCTGTACATTTCAAAAGTCCAAATATTCAAATAATATTAATATCGATATCTGATGGAACCTTTACAATTAAAATCTATGGTTTCAGTTTAAGCGAGTCCAATCGAAGCGATAAGAGAATTGACCTTCTCAACGTATTGTTTCATAGCATCATCGGCTGACATTCCCTTACGATCAAACCAGGCCTGTGAATGACAGACATTGACGTGATAAGTTTTTTTTCTATAATAGATTAAGAATGTTTGACTTTTTACCTGCCATTTTGCTTTTCCCTTAAAGTCGAGCATTCCCGGTTTTTCTAGGAAGACAATGATTACATTTTATTGATTTGTATGTAATGATAATATTTAATCAGTTCAGTTTTTAAATTATCATGGCTTATTGATAAGATTGTCAATAAATTCGTAATCTTATCAACTTCACCGGCAACGTGATAACATAATGCATGTTCTAACCTGTGCTATTATCACCAACAGTTGCCTGCTTAAATAATGAATACAGAACTAATAAATCATCATTTGATGGTGAAGCTTTTAATTTTTTCACTTCAGCTGCAGCTTGATCAAAGTCCTATGACGAGAAATATTCAATTGATGTTAAAGATTATCTTTTTTGTTGAATATTTTTTATTTAATACAATCACACCATGCTTTGTCGTCATGAAAAATTATACTTTTCTCTTAATTAACATAATGTCTTGATTGTTTAATATTATGTACATTTTATATAAGATAATTTCGCCGTTGGATGATAACAAATCATTTATATGTTAAAATATATTTATATATTTAAAAAAACACGTTGAATGATACGAATGAACTACGAACCTCTTTTAATCCCATTATTGGTTTTGATTTTATTAGATTGAAAAGACTGACTGACTATTTTTCTTCTAATTCAACTAGCGAACTGAGGGAGGACTTTGAAAACATACATAAAGAATATAGGTACTTGTACCCCCTTACAAGTACGAGCACGAAGCGGAATATGAGAGAACTAAATTGCATTTGTTGACTTTTATACCCCTTATTGCAAACGTTCGGCCATTGAGGTTCAAGACATTTATTTCATTGAACAAAAAATAGATTAAAACTCAACAGAAAGTTATCCAAAATATAATAAGCGGTGAGTTAACATATCAAATAATGGATTAAACATGAATTTCAATAGAGAAAACATAAATGAAGTGTTTAAAGTTGCATATAAAAATCGGGAGTGTCACTTGTTCAATTTATTATGTTAAAGCATATCTCAGATAAATCTGAGTTATAAAATTATAAACGTGCTAGGTAGTCAAATTATATTTATATCTATAAGAAATCATGAAAATATGTGAATATTGTGAAATATTTCGCATAAAGTTTGTATAAAGTGATATTTAAACGTTATTGTTTATGAATCACCAAAATGTAAGCAAAACTCCATCAACTTAGTGAGAAAGAAAGAAAAAAATTCCAAAGAATATGTGAAAGAGAAAGAAGAAAAAATGGAACGTTGTGATGTTATGCTTGCTAATGTTACAAATGAAGGAAAAAACACAAACAAACGTTTAAGAAAAGAATAAGAATAACATAAGGAAAAAAGAAGAAATATTTCTAGTGCTTCCGATATGTTTCGATTACGTGTAAACATAAATTCAAAAATGGAAAATTGAAGACATCCGGCAGACATTCGATAATAAAATTAAAATAATTTTTATTTCTGTCTTTTTTTCTCATGCAAAACCAAAGGTGTGAAGGAGAAATTAGAGCCTGTCGCCCGTTAATCTGAAATGAGCTATCAAATGTCTCAGAATCGTACAAGTAAGTAAAACATTTCTTTTCATAACTGAATATATTGCGTATCTAAACGTTAAAGCTATCATCAAAGTGATTTTGTAATCTCTGATTTTCGGAAACTGAATGTACATAAAAGATCCCCAACAACAGCGATTCTTTGCATATTAAGCATTTTTCGCTTTTACAAATATCTAAATGAAAAACCTTGAAAAAATAACTACCCTCGATGCTATTGCGATCTTGTAAAAATGATTTCTCCTCTTCCAGTATGAAAAAAATGAAAAACAGGGAAGCAAAAGCGTTAACTGCATCGTTCCACCTTACGCTTCTACATTTGAAATCCCTGCATTTTTTCTTTCCCAATCCACTCATCATTTTCCTCCCGCGTTCTCTCCTAACATGTTTTCAAATTTCTCTTTGATGTTTTTTTTCCTTTGCCTTCTTTTCCATATATTTCAAGTCAATGATTTCTCATTTATGCTACGGAGAAATCTTCTGGTAGAATTTTTTCTGTTTTTTCTCTACATTTGTTGGTAAAATTTGTTTCATTTGTTTTTTCCACGATTTGCTATCAAAAGGAACTGGAATAATGTATTTTTACCTACGCTTTAGCTTTGTTTCTTTCATTCAAAAAAAGGTTCTTAGAACAATTTTTGTTTGTTTGTGTTAATTTTTCTTTCTTTCTTTTATTTATTTTCGATAGTTTCTCACAACCCTTACCAGAATTCCGAAATGGCACTGGGAAAGGATCAACAAACGCTCATGTGGCAACAAAATTCATATCTTACTGGTGCTGATTCCGGTATTCATTCGGGTGCCGTCACTCAAGTTCCATCATTGAGTGGAAAGGACGAAGATGATATGACAGGCGGTGATGATACTCTAATGTTTGATTTGGATCAAGGATTCAACCAGAACTTCACCCAAGATCAAGTTGATGACATGAATCAACAATTAAATCAAACTCGTAGTCAACGAGTACGTGCTGCAATGTTCCCAGAGACATTGGAAGAAGGAATTGAAATTCCGTCAACACAATTTGATCCACAACAGCCAACAGCAGTTCAACGTTTATCTGAGCCATCTCAAATGTTGAAGCATGCTGTGGTCAACTTAATAAACTATCAAGACGATGCAGATTTAGCAACACGCGCAATTCCAGAATTGATAAAATTATTGAATGATGAAGATCAAGTTGTAGTGTCGCAGGCTGCCATGATGGTTCACCAATTGTCAAAAAAGGAAGCATCACGTCATGCAATCATGAACAGCCCTCAAATGGTCGCTGCTTTGGTTCGTGCTTTATCAACAAGCAACGATTTGGAAACAACAAAAGGAGCTGTTGGAACACTCCACAATTTATCTCATCATCGTCAAGGTTTACTCGCAATTTTCAAGAGTGGCGGCATTCCAGCTTTGGTCAAATTATTGTCATCACCAGTTGAAAGTGTTTTGTTCTATGCCATCACAACATTACACAACTTGTTGTTGCATCAAGATGGATCAAAGATGGCAGTTCGTTTAGCTGGTGGCTTACAAAAGATGGTCGCATTGTTACAACGTAACAACGTCAAGTTCTTGGCCATCGTCACAGATTGTTTACAAATCTTGGCGTATGGGAACCAGGAGAGTAAGCTCATCATTCTTGCGTCAACTGGTCCCATTGAATTGGTCCGAATTATGCGTTCATATGACTATGAGAAGTTGTTATGGACAACGTCGCGTGTTTTGAAAGTTTTGTCAGTTTGTTCAAGCAACAAACCAGCAATTGTTGAAGCTGGTGGTATGCAAGCACTTGCCATGCACTTGGGAAATCCATCACAACGTTTGGTTCAAAATTGCTTGTGGACATTGAGAAATCTTTCAGATGCTGCTACAAAAGTTGATGGTTTGGATAATTTATTGCAAGGATTGGTTCATGTTCTTGCCAGTTCAGATGTCAATGTTGTCACATGTGCTGCTGGAATATTGTCGAATTTGACTTGTAATAATCAGCGTAACAAGACAACTGTTTGTCAAGTTGGTGGTGTTGAAGCTTTGGTTCGAACAATCATCAATGCTGGAGATCGTGAAGAGATCACCGAACCAGCCGTTTGTGCATTGCGTCACTTGACATCACGTCATCAAGAATCAGATGCAGCACAAAATCTCGTTCGTCAGAATTATGGATTACCAGTAATCGTTAAACTTTTACATCCACCATCTCGTTGGCCGTTGGTTAAAGCCGTCATTGGATTGATTCGAAACTTGGCAATTTGTCCTTCAAATTCAGCTCCATTACGTGAACATGGAGCGATTCATCATTTGGTTCGCTTGTTGATTCGCGCATTCCAAGACACTCAACGGGTATGAATTTTCATTTTCCTTCTATTAAATTTAAATTTCATTCCATTTTCATCATCTTTCTCCACAGCAACGTTCATCGGTTGCTACAAGTGGCTCACAACAGCCTGGAGCTTATGCCGATGGAGTTCGAATGGAGGAAATTGTCGAAGGAACTGTTGGAGCTCTTCACATTCTCTCCAAGGATGAATATAATCGACAAATGATTCGACAACAGAATGTCATTCCAGTTTTTGTGCAATTGCTCTTCTACAATGACATTGAAAATATTCAAGTGAGTTAAATTTGATGTTCAAAATGAATAAATAATTAAATAAATATTATTTCATTATATTAGCGAGTTGCTGCTGGTGTTTTATGTGAACTTGCAGTTGACAAGGAAGTTGCCGAGTTGATTGAACAAGAAGGAGCAACAGCTCCACTTACTGAGCTTTTAAATTCAGGTAAACATTAAACAGACATAAATTATGAAAAATGTTTTAAATTTTTTGATATTTACAGCCAACGAAGGTGTTGCAACATACGCCGCTGCTGTTCTCTTTAAAATGAGCGAAGATAAATCTTTGGATTATAAGAAACGTTTCTCCAGTGAGCTTACAACTCTGCCAGTGTTCCGTGATGATCAATTGTGGAACAATGGTGACTTGGGTATCGGGCCAGATTTGCAGGTAAAGTTTTTAATAAAATGGTCAATCACAAACATTTTCACGTTTACAAATCTCACGTGATGCACTAAATTGGATATAAAATTTGAACTTCTTATTTTGATGTGTCGATATTTTTTTTAAATTTCTTTCTATGCTGCACCAAAATTTCCATCTCACAACCACCTCCACCATCAATGATCTCATAAATACACAAAACATAATTAAACAATCGAAAACAAACCCGAACATTTCATAGGATATTTTGGCACCGGATCAGGCTTACGAGGGCTTGTACGGACAAGGTCCAAATGGTACTGGAAATGGTCGTGTATATCAACAAGGTAAATATAATTCTTTATCACTATTGTCACGCTTCTTTTGCTTTACTAACCAAATCAATCACATTCTTAAGCACAAGTGATAAAAAAACTAAAACTAATCAAACTTTTTCGTAATTATTCTTCTTCAATTTATTTTCCTGTGGAATTGCAGCTAAGCCCGCATAGCATATATCATCTTTAAAGTCTAACAAAAAGAAATAGAAAAAATCATCTTTTTTGATAGACTAACCAACAACTAAATATTCCGCCAAAAAGAAAGTTTTTTAATCATTTTAATTATTTATATCACAACTTTTATCTTCTGAACAATGAACATTATTTATGACGGAAGGAATTATAAAACTACGAAGAAAATTAAAAATTTGTAACAATCTAAGATGCAAAAAACTTTTACAATGATTAAGAAAAACAAAAATTATTCTACGCATTAAGATTAATGCAATTATAATATGATGGATCTTAGGTGATTATAGCATGTAATCGCTTTGATTTTGAGGATTTATTTTTATCTGTTATTGTTTGTAGATAATTTACTTATTTATCTTTCTATTATTGTAAAGATTTGTTAATGAAATTTTTTGTTTTTATTTTTACTCATTTTTCCTTTTGTTGTTGATAAAAAAAGATTTTTTTTAATAATTTCTCTTTTGAAGAAATATCTTGATGATTGACTTGTCACTAATTGTCGTCATTTAAACTTATTTTTTTGAAGGATATGACACATTACCGATCGACTCAATGCAAGGTTTAGAAATCGGTGGCAGCCAGCAACAACAACAGCAACAACATTTAATAGGTGGAATGAACACAAACCCTCCAACTTCTCCGTCGTATCAAATGGACATGGAATGTGTCATTGGCGAAATGGACGCCAGTGAATTAACTTTCCAACATCATCTAGGAGTTGATTCTATGATGGATACGATGCCTTCACCACCTGCAAATGACAACAATACACAAGCTGCTTGGTACGACACCGATTTGTGAATCAACCACAGCGAGTATTAATCAGCAGATCATTTTTTTATTAATAATAATTTTTATTCAATAGTTTTAATGAATTATGAGCTTAGGATTTTCTTTTATCTCAACGATAATCAAAATTATTTTTATTAGTTCAATAATTCTGTGTTTTCAGAATTTATTATAAGAATTAAAAGTTTAATTTCCTCAACCTTCAGATTATTTTTATGTTGACTAAATCTCGAGTTCTTTTATGCTTCGAGCTGGTAAATCAATTTTATTTAAAATTTCAACAATGATGTGATAGGCTGATTCGAACGAAAGTGAGCACATATCCTCAAGATTTTCGATTTTAAACGATCAAAATTCTCGTTGTCTCTTAATCAAAAAAGTAAAAAAATGATGAGAACATTTTTGTGATTTTGCAAAATTTCCATAGATTGAAAATTTGCATAATGACGACTCGTTGCAATTAAAAAATTTATGCTTAGAAAATTGCGACCTTAAATAAATGAGGAAACAGGGTGAAATAATTGAAAAACACACAATTAAAAGATAAATGTCTTTCAATATAGAAATAATCTATTTCTTTTTTAATTGATAGACAAGTAAGAAACAATTATTGATATAGAAATTTCATTTTTTATAAGCATAAATAGACACAAGTGTCTCAGACTCTCGATGGTAATTGTGGAAAAGAAATGAATAACTTAAATACATATTTAGGTTAAGCATTTCATGATAACAACTTCCTTTAAATTCTTTCACTTCAAATGACGCAATCCTAGAAAGTTTAGTTCCAAAATATTCAATCAAAGCCATGATTTTTTACTTAGCTTTCAATTTTAAACTCTTATCTTCCTTTGAAAAGATTTTATTTTATAACTTTTAATTCATTTGTAGGATCTTCATATTAATATTATAAGAACTTTCATGAATTTTAGTGAATAAGATATATATAAATAAAAATAAACTTAAAAAGTATTAAATAGTGTTTTCTTCATTAATTTAAAATTTTGATGATTTGATCTTAGAAGTTTTTCAGACTGTTCAACCGTCATTATTAATTCAAATATTGTTTTACGTAATACATCCAACTTCACTTCATATGGTTTGCATCAATCGTAACTAAGTTTTCTGCGTCTGTTTTGATCAACCCGTCTTAGCGATAGGACGTGTTTTCGTTCTGCTCCGGTATTTTAGTGACATCATCACAACATTTAGTTGGCTCTATAAAAAGTTAAATACCTACATGTTATAGAGTGAATTACACAAATATTAGTTTTAAAGTTTTTGTGAATTAAAGAAAAAAGTTATTACGAGAGTAACAGGAAAAAATATTACATTTGTAATCAATTGATATCAAAGCGTGTAGAAAAAAGAAATTAAATGTGAAGTGTTTAATGAAAACAAATGAAAGAATATAAAAGTACACTAACAATCCATCAATGCATTTGGATTTTTGCAATAAGTGGATTGAATTAACAGTAGTTGAAAGTAACGCAATTTAAAGGAATATTTTAGAAAGGATGTAAGTAGTTTTAATTGCCTGTTATTTACTTAGCAATCAAGTCTCAGAAAGTCTTATCATCATTTCAAAATAAAAATTTCTTGTCATTAATAAGTTTGAATCATCAAGTGTGCTTTAAATAGATAACGTGAAAATGTGAGACTCAATTCAACCCAACTGGCATTTTCAGAATAATAACAAAGATATGAAAAATGTTTATATTTCGCGTTCTATCGATTGCATTAGATTTAGCGGAATGTAAACTTCAAACTCGAAACTGATTTTCTTTTCACACTCTTTTTTTTCTTTCTGTTATCGTTGGGTTGATTGAATTTCGTTACCAAATTAGCGTGAAGTGAAAATCGATGGTTTGACGGTTTTTACGTTTGTGATTGTTAAACATGTGTTCCAATATGGGGAAAATTTCAACTTGGCCTCCTTTTTAGGAAATTGCAATATTATTGTATCGTCCTCAAAACATTTTGTCGTAAACTTCAATAATTTTACTGGTGAACTGAAATAAATTTTGCGTGGTTTTATTTATCTGAACAGACTTTTAATTTGCTTAAATTTATAACTTTACCCCATGATAAATTTATGAAATTATGATTATCAAGATATGATTATCTTATGGATTAATTAATTCATGATTGATTTCACGATCAACATTCGAAAATTGTTTTGAAATACTAAATATCGTAGTTAATCATCTTAATTCGGAAGATTAATTTAGCATGTCGAATAAAAACATTGGAAATCAGCTCATTTTTTTTCGGCTGATTTTTTATTCAACAACATTTTCATTGTCGCCTTGAGAATATTCTACAATCAAGCCATCGTTGAGTAAACTTCTGGTGACTAACTTCACTCAATTTTTCTCAATGAAAAGAATTTCGCGTGACGGTCACTCCCTTAAAACAAAAGGCTAACCTTTATATTGGCGTATTCTATGTATGAAAAAATCTTATCACCAACCGCCCTAGTTGCCATTAATCTACTCGCCTTATTTCCTAAAGTTCACTTGCTGTTCACAGAATAACAATAATGTTTGGTTTCTTTGTTTTGTTATGTTCTGATTTGTGGATTTTGTTCGAATTCTTTTGAAATAAATTCGAAAACATTGAAAATCGCATCTGTTTTCCATCCTTTCGTGCTTCTCTTTTTTCTTTTCTTTCTTTTGAAAAGTCGAAAGTCTAGAATAATAAAGCGGAAAATAGTTTAATGTTCTTTACTTTCTAGTCAAATTTTACTTCAGAGAGCAGTGTAACAACAACTTATTTAATCACACACATTTTTCTTTCTATTTTTAATTTAAATTGTGTACCTGTTTTGACACGTTCATGAAAGATCAAAAAGATGAAACGAAAGAAATTGTTGCTTTCATTATAAAACAATTGCAATGATTTCTTATTTAAACTTTGCTAAAACACTGCACATGTTTAATTGGGTTTTTCTAACCGATTCGATTCTATTTCCAAATGTTTGACTTAAATTCTATTTATAGAAGCATCCAAATTCCCCTCATTAAATCTTAAGAAGTGTTTGAAATAATTTTTTCTTCCTTCTTTCAATTCATGAGCTCTTGATGTGTCGAGAATTCAAGCACATGATAAACAAATCTCACGAATTCTTCAATTCATATTTACACAATTCAATTAGATTGTTCAATATCGATTGTTCAACACTAGATATTTATTTGGATATCCTGAATGATTAATTTATTATTCTTGTTAATTATTTAAATGAGATACTTTGTCATTAATTATTTTATTTCTTTATTGCAGACAATGGCGAATTATATCGTTTGCTTAATTGTTCAACGCTTAGTTCTTTCAATTTTACTCAGCATATGTAAGTAACATAATATTCACATTATGGGATTAAATTCAGATGAGAAGCTCCAAACATTGCTTTACGTGGAAGTTATCGGAATTTTAATTTCACGTTTTGAGTCAAAACCGGTCCAAAAAATTGACCTTGAACCTGTCTTAGTGTGACGAGTTCTGTTCTGACTGAAAAGAAGTCATTATGCCATCAAAAATGATTGAAGAATTAACAATAAAGATTACAATTACTGTCCACATGGCTTACTATGCGGATAGCTCAAATAATGAAAAGAATTTACAACGATATAAGCAAATAGAAGAAACTAAGCACACGTCTGGCTTCCAAATTTATTCAAGCTTTACAAAAATTCATTTGAACATGTCAAAGTCATAATCGTCAAGCATTTCTACGCCTGCGATTTACCGAAAGTGAAAACATTTGCTTATCAAGTTCTCAGCCGGCATCTTCTCGTTACATGAATTTATTTTCTTCTCTCACTCTTTTATTGCATGCCAAAAGCAATTAACTGACGTTTTGTCTGACTACATTCATAAATTCAACGTGTTAATGGTCACACAAATACTGATTATTTTTTAAATAGATATGAGTAAATATTTTTATGCTCGTAGCTTGTGATTGATGAACAAGTTCCATGACCTTCGTCACGATTGAGAAATTTTAATACAATTAAATTTTTTTCTTCTTTTCATTCAATTAAAGTCACATGTTTGATCGAACTCAGAGACAATCATGATCGATTGCTATAAATAAAGTTTCAAGAAACTTGTTGAAAGATTTCTCTGTCAATTGACAATTGAAGTTGCTTTGCATTAATTGTTAACACCTTTTAAGACGGCAAATGTGATTGCTATGAAAATTCTTTAACAATCTGTCATAAATTAGCGAATTACTAATGAATTCTGATGAGTAGAGATGTTTCATAACAACAAGTTGTTTATAAACTTTCTGACTCAACCACGAAAGGAAGTGGAGAAATTGAAAATTTCAACTAAAAAATTAAAATAGATTTGTTAACGCTACAAACTTTTTACAAATGCATTACTGCCAATTATCATTTAAAAAGTTATTAGTGAAAATATTTTTCAAAAATATTTCTCATTTTATTGGATTTAAATCTGGAAACAAATCAACAAATATTTAAGATTTTAATTTTCTGGGAAGTCAGCAATGTGAATGGCGCTTATTTATAGACAGATTCGACATTAGCGTTCATCTTTAAAAATCATTTCAACAATGACTTTTTCATCGCTACTTCAACCGGTTCTTCAAACCAATTTTTATATAGCTGAAGCTATTCAATCGAGTGGTTGTATGATTTCGAATGTTTCTTCTTTTTAACAAGCATTCTTGAAATGATGTTTTTCATTTCGAATTCTAAAAACACTAACGAACGTAACTCAATAAACTCAAAGGCGGTGAAATCCCTTGAAGCAATATTTATTCAAATTTTTTTAATTCTATATTTGTTATCATTTGGTGTCATTTACCCGTCGAGTCTATTTTTATCAATTTCAATTCTTCCTATGATAGTCGCATAGCCAAACTATCGTAGCTCAAAAGAGCGGAAAATATTACAGAACTTTGAATAGATATTTAAAAATGGGTCACGCTCTTTAAGAACTGGAATTTCATTTTATTGATATTTGTTTACGTAGATAGGGAACTTGGCTTATTTTGCACCACTTGATCATTAGAAATTTTATGATTTTAAATGCTGAAAACATAATAAAATCTATACATATAAATTTTAAACGATTTTAGTGTTTAAAGTGAAGTTTCTAATGAGAAAATAAATCTGAACTGCAAGAGGTATGAAATCTCCTAATTACCCTATTTTAAAGTAAAAGTGATGACTCTTCTGTCTTATCAGCTGTAGAATGAAAAATATAATTAATAAAGACACAGCGTGGCAATGAATTCTTGATAACGATGCAATTGACTTGTCAAACAAAATGATTATTGAAGTGGTTATGAAATCAAACCACGATCCCTTTAAATATTTATAAGCTCGTCAAGATATTTCAATCATATTATGATTCCGTTGGCACAAGTTCACACTCTGTAACTCTGAACATCACGATTTTCTTCTTGTTTCGGTTTTTTTATTCATTCATAGTTCATGATCACGATACCCTTGCGCTCTTCAATGTTAGTGTGAAGAAGTGTGGAAAAAGTCGACATTCTCACACCAAATCTTACTTCCTCTTCCACCTTCCGACGAAAATGAATGACTTTGTGAATTAGCCATGTGCACGAGAAGCAAAAATATTTTCTCAACTTCCAATGTAGATTCGTACATAAAAGCTTTGTGTAGTTGTATTCAAACATTTACATGTCGACATACAAATTGTGAATATTCAAATAAGCAAGAAAAATGAAAATCTTTTCATGAATGAAAACATCACATAAAAAGTTTTTTTTTCGCATAACTTGCTTCGATACTTCGATTTGATGTAATGTTTACATAAAGAATTAATGCGAACAGCAAACAGAAGCTACAATGATTGTTTTAATAGAAAATCAAAAGTTAAAATATGCTATGAAATGGAATAATTGTTATTGATATTTTCTCATGAGGTTAATTAATTAAAGTGGCGTTTGATGAGTCATGCTATGTAGATTTTAACAACGAATACCAAATTAATGATACACCTAACCGTATGAAGAAGTAAAGCCGGCAAATAACAAATATGTAACTTCACTCGCTACTCGCCTTTATTCATTCTCATACGTTCGCAAACTTATTCAATAAAATTATGAATATTTGATGATGATATCATGCCAATGATTGTAATCACATCTACGCCCTTTTATGTTGATTAGTTAAACTTTTTTTTCTCTTTTGGAAGCATCAAAGTGTCTAATGAATGGAATTTAGTTAATAAATCATCATCTGCAGCAAAACGAATTTAAAAAATGTAAGACAATGACATCATCATTCATACCACATGCTCTTCATTTCAAATAAACTGCTTTATGACAATAAAATATAATAAAAAGTCCTTTCAACGGTTAAAGTATGCAGCAGAAAGAAAATGTATGAAAAATTAGGTCACGAATGGGCAATAAAATGAAAAACTCCGCACTGACGGATGGAAAAGTGAAGAATGAAGCAAAAATTGGGTGTTTGAAGTAAACTTATTTGCTCTTCCTTAACGATGTGTGATGGTTGTCAGTTTAACACCATTTATTAGTTTATTCTTTTTCTTCTTCGGTAATTTAATATCCGTTTCTTTCTTTTATTTTCTTTTTCTTTTTCCAGGTTGTCTACTTCGACCAGTTGGTTTGTCATTGCCATATCTTTTGTTCCTGTTCTACTTACCTTTCGTTCCCGTCGCAACACATCGTACGATTCGAGGTTGGTGAATCTGTTAATTGAAATATGATACGACATCGATTTTCTTTTTTTTTGTTTTCATTCCTTTGACTCCCCCGCTCCTTTCTTTTATCACAGGTCACACTGGATACTTCCTTAAACTTCTAATACTTATCAGCACTCTCTTATGTCTCGTGCAAATTGCTTTTCAAATTCTACTCGCCAGTCTTGGCAATGATTTGGTGACGAAATGTGAACTTCTTGAATTGATTTTAAGGCACATTGGGCTTATCCGATTGGATAATTTAGAGTAAGTTTGAATTGTTGTCGTTCACTTCAGTCAATGATTTTATTTTATGTTTTCATAGTGCTGGTTCAATAACACAATGGCTTGCACCAGAAATTATTTCATTCTTCGGTTCCATTATTGTGTTCATCGTTTTGAAGCGCTCATCAAATAATGGCCAACTGGAAGCTGCCAATGCTGAAAATCTTGAAACAGGAAATGAAGTTCAATTACCTGACACTGACAACGAAATAAGTTTAGAGAAATGGAAACTTCTGATCGGTGCTGGGAAGGTTTTGTCTTTGTTAGCTCTTTGTGCTACTGGAGCTCTTCAACCATCAGTTCTCAGTGTTGTTTACTACATTGTTTTTTTGGGTGCAGCAACATGGTGGAGTTGTAATAAAGAGTTGGAAAGGTGCGAAATAATTACCTTTAGAATTAATGACCATCACGGAAAGATGTCACGTTAATCTAATTTTCTATTTTCTTTTTGTCTTTCTGCAGAGCTTTCGGTATCGTTTTGAGAGCTGTTGTGGTTTTTCTTTCTTGTCATATTTTAGCATTTCTCACTTATCAAAATCCCTGGCCTCAAGAGTTCTTAGAACCAAACTCGACAATTCCAAGGTTAGTGAAGATTTATGACAATTTTGTTGATTGCAATCAAAAAGTTTTCTCTTTTACAGGGTTTTCGGCTTTACAGCAATTTATTCGTCATCTTGCGACAATGAAACTGACATTAGAATTCTTGATTTTGATGATAGTTTGGATTTGGATCGTTACTTGAATCCAATAGCACTCATCATTTGTTATTTCGTTGTTGCCATCACATCAAAGATGTTGTTGGGTCCGCAGGTAAATTAAAAGCCGAAAATTGCATCGCGATGTTGTCAAGTGAAAAGTTTTGATCGGTTAGATTTGGAAGTAGAATCAAGAAGTTGCAATTTTTGTGTAGATTAATTAACAAACATTTGCTAAATTTTAATTGAATTCGTTCAAAATTTTATTCCCATTGCTTTCCATTAATATCGCTTTTCATCATGGATTGGATTTAAAATCTTTTAATCACTTAACTTAATAATTAAATTAATTAAATTGACACAATTTGTGGTGGATGGTTAGCCAGAAGAATCAAAACCATCAGGTAGTGGTCCATTCTCAGCACTTGAGAGTGGAAATAAAGTTCAACGTCAAGTGTCGTTTCGTATGCAACGAAAAAATATTTTACGTAAAACTTTTGTCACAAGCGACAAGTGGAAAGGGGCGGCACGAAGAGTTAAGATAAAAACACAAGTAAGAATTAACCAGAATTGGCTTTCACTTCATTGAGTTTTATAATTTGAGATAAATTCAAAAACACTCACAATCACGTGTTGGCAATGGCAAGTCATCACTTCAGGACAGGTTGAGAATTATTTAACGTCTAACGAACATGTTCTAAATATCTACAAAGGTAGTCATGATTGATCTTGAACGGTCCAACATGGTTGTTAAATCTTAATTACTGTTTAATTTTCCTTTTTATATTCTTCACTTCTTAAGCGCTTTTTGTCAACAAAAGAAACTTTGATTGATCGACTGAGTTTTATTTCTTTTTTTCAATAGAAAAACAATCAAAATATTTGGGTGGGTGGAGAGTAAAAAAAAATTGATTTATGACCAATTCATTAATTACAGCTCATTAATTAGTTCTGCTTGTGTTGCTTTTTGTGTTTCTTTTAATCTGATTATCTAACAGCTTTAGTTCTTCATTTTTACTACTATTTTTATGCTATGATTTCTATTATTCTTTATAAATATTTTAGGGATATGTTCGTAACGTTTGTCCTGATCTGACGCTTCAAACTGAACCTAATGAGCGAACACCTGTATGTATTAATAAATTTTTCTTTTTTTTCTGTATGACAACAAGATCAACTTGAGCATCAGAACGAATGTGTTGGTTGTTGTGCTGATTAAATAAATTAACTCAAAATGTTATCAAAAATAATTCTTCAAATGAACTTGCAAGAAATTTTAGTTGAAATTAAATCATTTCTTTACATTTTTTATTAACAATTTATCATCATCACCACCATCATCATTATTATTATAATTTTTATGAAATTGGCTTTCTTGTATCTTGGTTCATTTTATTAAAGTTTCTGTTCAATTCTTAGTTGATGCGAAGTGGCACAAGGAAGGTTGCTGACACAAAGCCTGACACTGCACCGACGGGTAAAGAAGCTGATGCTATTCCAATGGGTTTCATTGGTAAGTAAGAATAATTAAAATTGCTTTGCTTTCAAATCCACTTCCACCCTCCACTCATCCTTATTTATCCTTTATAATTTAATTTATTTTTTGTTTTCATTTTCTCCAACAAAAACTTTTTCTTTTTTGCATATTTTTGTGTGTTGTGTGAAATTCCTTGAAAATTTAAAGGAAATAAAAAAAATATTACAGAAGAAGAAGGCGATGGTGAAGAACAGAATGGAGTTGGCTTTTGTGAGCAGATGGCGATGGCAGCTGGAAGTATTGGCACTTTCATTTATAAAAACAGTTACATTTTTACTAATGTAGTCATGATGGTAAATGAAAATGAATTTTCTTCTTAATGTTCAATTGAAATGAAACTTTAATGTCTAGGCTTGGAGTATTGTTTACCATTCGTGGCTTGGCTTTGTGCTTCTCATCTGGGCCAATCTCATTTGGATTATTCCGAATCAACGGAAGAACATGCTTCGATCGTCGCCATTTCTTGTTGTTTACGCTGAATTTTTACTACTTGCAACATATTTGTTTGGAATGGATTTAACAGATGACGAGTTACCAGCAAATGTCGATGTAAATGGCATAAATCTACCTCAAATTGGTTTCATAAAATATCTTCATTACCCTATTGGACCAATCATGCTGAAATCAGCTTTTACTGTCATGTTTTGGGCGAGTCTACGTCAAATGCTTCAAGAACGTGCCGAAGAAAGGAAAAGCACAGCACTTGCTGATATGGTTGCGCCACTTCAACTCACAGTCGGCGCTGCAACAGCTCGTGAAGGAATTCAAAAGAAACAAGAGAAGGAATCAGCTTTTGTTAAGAAAGCAGCAAATCTCATCAACACTTTTCTCGTAAAGTTTTGGATTTATGTTGTCGTTGTGACGCTTTTTGTATGCGGAATTAGTGGACAACAAATGACTGGATTTAGAATTGTTTACATGGCACTTTTTCTCACCTTCATTCTCACATTCCAATTCTCATACAGCGTTTGGCGGAAGTTTATGTATGGATTTTGGTTGCTGGTTATTGTCTACTCGATGTTAATTCTCATTCTCGTCTACACTTATCAATTTCCAAAAACTGCTGGATATTTCGAAGATTTACTTCACATATCTGTTCAATTGTAAGTTTTTCTTTTCAAATTTATGACTTTGAACAATTTCTAAATTTATTTCCCTTCAATTTAGACAACGCGATATTGGATTGGAACGTTATGATGCCAAACAACTTTTCCTTCATCTTGTTACACCCACGCTTATCGTCATTATCACCGTCATTCAATTGCATTATTGTCACACAAAGTTTTTAGAAGTTTCAAATATTCCCGAGGGACCACAAGACGATGCGAGTCGAGCGAGTTCAGCTGCTTATGGAACATTCGCTACAAATAGATCAGATGATGAAGGTGACACGGAAGACAACACTGACTTCCTGGATGAAATAAAAATCAGAAAATTATCGAAACAAGAAATTCGCGGAGTTGCAATGAGAATTCTCACAAAACTTTTATCTTGGAGTGAAGTTCTTTTGTTGTTTATCGAGATTCATGCTTACAAGATCATGTTGTTCTGCACTTTCCTTCTAGCAATAAATGAAGTTGAATTACTTCATTTTAGCTTTGTCATTCTTGGAGTTGCTGGATTGAAAGCTAAAAGCGACACACAATTTTTAGTGACACGAGTTGCTTCACTGGTCGCATCAATTCTACTCATCACAACAATGATGTATCAAGTCGATTATATCGATCAAAATCGCTACGAATCAAATTGTACAAACACGTCAGATCCAACAACAGAAGTGACAAATAATGCGCTTTGGATTGGGTTTAGGAAAGCGAGTCAAGAAGCAAAGTTGTCTGATCTCATACGACCATATCTTATGTACATAATTCTCGTGTCAGCACATTCGTTTTTAATTCTTTATCAGACAATCAAAAGAATCAAACAGAACAGAACGTCAAGAACACCAACAGTTGTATTTAAAAATATTAAACGAGCTGATGCTGATCGTGACATTCCTCATCTTATCAAATATCTCGTCAATTATGGATTTTATAAATTTGGAATTGAAGTTTGTCTCATCATGTATGTGATGGTGATTGGATATCGAATGGATATTGTCGCTTGCAGCTATGCTGTTTGCTTATTCTTCCTTTACAATCTTCAACGTGAAATGGCGAGGAAAGTTTGGAGTTACGCAACTTTCTTCATCATTGCTTCGATTCCAGTTCAATACATTTCGCTAATTGGTCTACCGCCAGGACTATGTTGGGAATATCCTTGGAACGACGTTAAAGTTCTTGAAGATTTCAACATTTTCGCATTTCTACCTGAGAACACTTTTGTGTTTAAGGATAAATCGCGACTTCTGCTGCTTGATTTCATTCTTCTGCTTCTCATGTGTCGTCAATTGATTGTTTTTCGCATTGAAGCTCGTTACGAAACTTCCACACTCAATTATCCTGGTGGCAGCAACAAATCAGTCTTGAACGACATCGATCAACTTGGAACTGTTCCATTTGACAATCCAACTCATGATTTCATTGATAAAATCAGAAATTATCTCGACATATTGAAGCGTTGTGTGTTTGTATTGTTCTTTTGGGCAGCATTGGCAATCGTCTTCCTTACAGGCACAAGTCGAGTCAACATTCTTTCAATCGGTTACATCATTGGATCGTAAGTTTCAATCTTGAACTCAATCTGAAAAGTTTGCAACTAAATTTTTATCATTTTCAGATTTATTTTCTTATGGCAAGGAACGGACTTTTACTTACGTCCAATTTATGTCATCATAACGTGGTGGAATTATTTGATTGCTTATAACGTCTCAGTTGTTGTTATAAAGTCAATGATTCAATTGGTTGGATGTTTGGTGTTGAATTTGGAATCAATCAACAATTATTGTTGGCTTATTCAGGTAAGTTATCATTGGGAATTGTTATCAGTTAAAATAATTAATTGCAACTCTTTACAGCTTCTCGGTGTCACTTGCATTTGTACAACAAAGAAACAAGATCCAACACAAGAAGGATGCTACGTTCCAGTTGAAGACAGCGGACTCTTCTGGGATGGCGTTTGCTTTGCTTTTCTCATCATTCAACGAAGATTATTCTCTAGTCACTACTTCTGCCATGTTATTAATGAAGCCAAAGCAAGTTTAATTCTTGCATCACGTGGAAATGAATTGATTGAAGAGTTGCGTGTTAAAGAAATGAATCAAGAAGCGGAAAGAGAAGCTCAAATCTTACAAAAGATCAAAACGAAAATGGATCGAATCAAAGCAACACAACAAAGAGTTTTAGAAGAAAATGAACCAAAACATCATGCGGCAGGTAAATAATCTTGAAACGACATCCACAACTTTTTCGTTTGTTTCATTTCCTAATTTTTGATTCGCGATAATTTTGTGTTAAAAGAAATTGTGAATAGTTTTTGATTTTTGATGATTAAAAGATTAAAAGAAAAACTTTTTTGAGCAACGCAGTAAGTAGGAGAAAATAATAATTTTCCGACTCATTTTTCCTTTTTATAAAAATAATTGAAATGATGATTGTTGATTAGGAGAAGGTACAGCACCTTTAGCTCGAACACATAGCATGTCATCAGGCATTGGTTATCACACACCGATTGAAGGTGATGATGATGATGAAGAAGATGATGACGAAGTTCAAGAGGCGATGTTTGTTGAAGGGGAAGGATTATCTGAGATTCCAACAGATCTTCCCGGAGCTTTCATTTCAAGAGGCGGATCATTCATCGGGACAACACAAGCACCATCACCGAGTTCTGCTGTTATGACAGTTTCACTTGATGCTTATTTAGATCCACAAAGAATTTCTTATGGTTCACCAGGTGACTTCGAAATGGTTCCACGAATCTCAAGTCCCGACGACACTTTTCCAGTCTTTTCTCCACCACCCTTCGATGTAAAATGTTCTCTGAAACTTTCTGTTGAAATCCTTTTCATAAAATGATTCTTGTCAGGATCGAGATGTCCATATCATCGATCAAAACATGTTGGTGCCACCAAATATGAATGGTGGGGGGAGTAGCAGGGGAAGTAGCGTTGTTGGTGCTCCACAACAAAGCCGACGTCATCGACGATTATCAAGTTTGAATACAGTTTCATGGCCGAATCCCAATGAGTTAACTGTGAATGGAAGACAAAGACGAATGTCAACTGTTACAAGTGCTGACGCTCAAGAAAGTGAAGTAAATGATGATTGGGCGTGCCGCAAAAGAAATTCTTTTTGACGATTTTTCATCGCAAGCAGGAAGTTGGTGATCAGCGAAGAATTAAGTCACCAAGACGAACAAGTTTCAGTACATCAATAGCGCAAGATGACATAACACTTCCAACTTCAAGACGTCGATCGAGTTACAATCCATCATGGGGAGTTGATGATGATGATGATGACGATGATGATGCTTTAACAACGACAAGAGCTGCAAGACGAAGAAAATATAGTTGGGGACCAGCTGGTGAACTTGGCTTCAGAGATTCCATCCGATCAGCATCTTCACGTTCTCCCGTTTCTCATCATGAATGTAAATTCAACTTAAAATTGGCGCATGAATTTGAATTTGCTGCTTTGTTTATTGGCCTTTGTTACAATTTTAAGAATTCATTGATGAAAATTTGTAAATATTTACTAGATCCACAAATGGATGTCATCGATAAAGAAAATTGTTCGTTCAGCACTTCTTCATTTTGTTTCTTTCGTTTCCTTTTACTTTTCAATGGCGACGCGATGCTGTAAATATTTTGTTCATTGATACATGAAAAGACGAAAAAGAAAAAATTCTCTGTTTATGCAATTTTTCTTCTTTTGTGTCTGACGATCAAAAATTATTAAATTGATTTGTGGAGAAAACTTTTTCCAACTGTGATTATCAAGAATCAGCGTGAAGAAATTTCCACACGTCTCATTGAATTTCTGGCAGCAAAAGGAGAAACATTTTTATTGTAAATATCTTCAGCAGGTAGGACAGTTGATTGTTGAATATTCAGCTGTGGTTCCAGTCAGCACAATCAAGTCTCGAACTCTGATAAAATTGTACAGCAATAAATATTTGTGAATAAAAAATAATTTAAAGACTGTTTTAGTTTTAAGATGTTTTACTTATTTATTTTTTAGAATATTATTATAAATACTTGTATGATAAGATATCCCGATCACACAAACACACACACACGAACGACATTTGTGTTGTAGAATCAACCAATTCAAGTTCAATTCCTCCGCTACCTTTTCTGCTTAAAAATATTTATTTTCGCGATTGGAAATTTTCTTATTCTTCTTCTTTTGTCTTTTAATTTTTATTTTCTCACTTTTATGTTGTTTAATGAATTTTCCAAAAATATTTTCTAGATGGGAGTCGACGTGAATGGAAGAGATTTGCCAAACGTGGTAAAGTTTGTGATTAAATTTTTTTTTGTTTCGCATAATTTTTTTTTAATTTCACATCAGAAAACAAAACAAAGTTCTAACAAATTCAAATTATTTTTTCTCATCTCAATGGTCAAGTGTTGGTTGAATCAAGAAAGAGACAAATCACTTTAATTAACGTTTTTTAATCAACTTCAGTAGTAAACTAAAAACATGGTGGAAATAAGAAGCAAGGAAATTCTCACACGACTTACTCGATTCCTTGTTAAACAAAAAATAATCCTTTTGTAGTTTCTTTTAGAAAAATCAACTCATTTTCAAATAAATCAATCATCAGTAGATATTTTAGATCGTTTCGGCTTTCAGTGTTTCTTTCTTACCTTCTCAGTGTTGGCAAATGTTCTGTGTCTGTAATAAACACTCTCTTAGACCTCTCACGTCTTTCACAGTTTAAAGTTTCGTCGACAGCGTGAAAATTTGTGAACATTCATCAAACATCAAGAAGAATTTTTTTTTCAAAATTTTTTGATTATAATTTTCTGATGTGAAGAATGTCTGAAGCTTTTTTGTCGATCGGCTGGTGGATGTTCTTGGTGAAGTATTTTTTTTTCTGTTATTTTTTCATTTCTCATTGGCGCAAAGATTTTCTTAACACAATTTATTTTTTATTAGTTTTTATTTATTAAAGCAAGTTTGATCAAAAATTTTAAACATTCTTTTCACCGCAATCAAACTGTTAAGCACATTGAAATATTAATATTTATTCAAGGATTTAATTCTTTCTTCTTTCCATTATTTTACTTACCTCCACTAATCAAAATTTTCTTTCTTTTTTTGTTTAATTTTTATTGTCGTTTAACAGCAATCAGATCTGGAGATTATTATATGTTTGAAGAGATCGAGGATGAATTCGAACTCGATATAATTAATCACAAAGATTCCGACGACGAAGACGAAAAGAAATCGCAAACAAGAAGACGACTAAGTAAAAAAATGAACTTCTCACAGGTAATTTTTCTTCCACACTGAACAACTTTTCTTAAAATTTATTTTCACTTTGTGCCGAACAAGTCAAGAAACAAACAAACAAACTACCAAAACACAAAAAAAATATTAAAATTTTTCCTCAGCTTTTGGTGAAAATGAAAGAAGATACAGAAAAAGAAAGACTCGCACAATTGGAGCAAGAAGAACTTGAGAAGCAAAAGAAATTAGCAAGGAGAAGCTCATCTCCAGGTCTTAGACAAGCACATGAAACAGAAGTCGTTGAACGCTCTGCTCATTCTGAGCCGATTCAACAGCACACTCAGTTTGTGAGTTCTTCCTCACATTTCTCCATTAATTATAGTTTTTTAAGATTTAAGTAGCTGGTTGGTTAATCTGCTTGGAACATGGAATAATATTTTATTCAATTAAATTAACGCACAATGCTTTACTGCACATGTAGATTGTAATATTTATTTTATATCTTAGGCTTAAGTATCGAGCATGGCTTTAAATGGATTAAATTGAAAGTCTTGGAAAAGATTTTAATGTGAATATGGAAACTTTTATTCCAGGATCCGTCGTCATCATCAATTGGATATGATGAAGAAACTGAAGGATTAATTCAATCAGATGGAGCTCGTCCAAGTACAAGTCGAGGGTTCCATGCTGATGAAGATTCAAGCGCAGCTGATGACAAAGCGAAGTTAATCAAGGAAAAGAGTGAAGAAGAAAAAGAGAAGGAAGAGAAGAAAGCTGAAGCTGAAAAGAAAAGAAAACTTTTGATGAGTAAATTGATGATGATTCCAACATTTATCTCAAGTGTTTTAGTGTCATTAACATTGAGATTGCATCGTGTGTCAAGAAGTTATCGTTATGTCATGCGAGTGTTGGCAAAGGAAAAGAAAACTTTGAAGGTTTGTTTGTAAAATTTTTTCATTTCAGACAAGAGTTTTAAGTTTTTTATGATTTCGCAGCATTCACCTGGATTTGGTGCGGGTTTTCGAAGTGGATCGAACATGATATGGACTCCAATTCAACACGCCAAGACGTCAAGGTAAAATATCATCTGAAATCAATCATCTCTTCTACATTTTGTACATAAATAAATTCCTTTTTCTTTGTTGTGATGAATTTACTTAAAATCCTTCTTCCCTTCGTTATTTATTCTCTCCTTCCTTCGAATCAATTTTTTCTGTAATTAAACAGTTTAATAAAAATGCTCGTAACACCATTTAGAGAATCTTCAGCTGCTTCTGGCACGGGTTTAGCTGAAACGGCTCCACCCGTTCAAGATAATAATGTTTATAGAAGTAGTGATAGTGTTGTTAGTGATAGTAGCTCGAACTGTTTAGCTCAAGCTGACTCGCACAGTAAAGGTTTAGAAGATCGAACTGATAGAGATTCGATCATTTCAACACCAGCAAAACTTAGTGAAACTGATGGGTAAGTACATGCAAAGCTTTTGTTTCATGTTAGTTTTATTGTATTGTTCATCATAAGATTGATTAATGACAATTATTTTCTAAACTTTCGTTTTCTCCATCATTAATTAACATTTTTCATCTTTCCTTTTAACAAATTCCAAAGACTTCATCCAATGAGTGGAATTGGAGCTGCTTTTGCATTAATGCAACGTGATCGACCGCTTTTAACACTTCAAGCTGAACAGCAAGAAGAAGAACCTGTGTAAGTATCAAAAATTGTTTGTTTATTTAATAACTTTCAGTATCTAGTGGAACGTAAATAAGAAGTAGAATTTATTTTAATTGCATCGCGGACAAATAATTATAAAAGATCAAAAGATTTAGCGGTAAATTTATTTGTGCACGTTTTCTTTTATAACTCAATAAATCATGCTCGTTCATTGACACATTTTGTCATCATAATTTGCTTGAACTGATCTCATAAGAAATTTATTGATCATAATTTATAAGTATGTAGAGAGAATAGTTATGTTAACGCTTTTTAAATCTCAAATAAAATTCAAACGTTCAAACGACATGAATTGCATGCAGCCGTCGACAGAGTTGGATAAATCCTGAAATAAGAATTCTAGCACCATCAATGGAACGTGGAATTGACGATGATGATGATCGAGGTTCTTCGTTTAAATACGATTCACTCGTATCGTTCGACAGGTGAATTTTAACTAACAACTTTCAGTTTGTCGCTTTCCTCATTCGACTGTACAAACAAATATAAAAAACAGTTTCACGCACGATCTTTCAGCTTTTGATGTTTTTCTTTATTCTTCTTTTATTAATTTCTTCATTAAATTGTTTATTAATTATTTGAAATTATTTCCTCTCATTCGACAGCAAGCCTAAAGACGTCGTGGTGAAGATTGAAGACAAAGAAGAAGAAATTGATGAAGATGATTTCGCTAGTAAGGAACATCACATTTTAGTTGAATTATTCCAAGCACTTTGGTACGTCGTTTTATCTCACACCGACTTTATTTGTTACGCAATGGTTTTCTTGAATCAGGTGAGTTCTTAGAAATCCTCAGAAAAACTTCCAGAGCTTTTTATGAAACGAATCAGAAGATGGAACAATAATCATTCCGTTTTCAATCGTTTCGTTTCATTTTCGTTGTACCATTTCCAAAATGTTTCAATTAATTTAATCAAAATTTAATTCACAGATAAACTCAGCAAGTATTTTGTCGCTACCATTGCCATTGATGGTGTTACTTTGGGGAACATTGACATTCCCACGTCCATCTAAAACTTTCTGGGTTACTCTCATTGCTTATACACAGGCAGTTGTACTTATTAAATGTGCATGTCAATTTGAAGCATGGTTTTGGAATCAAGCAGCCATCCCTGCTAATCAGCCTTTCTCACCAGCAAGAATTCTTGGCATTGAAAAGAAGAAAGGTTACGCAACTTATGATTTGATTCTTTTGCTTGTGGTTTTCTGTCATCGAATCATTTTGAAGTCACTTGGATTATGGAAATCAGAAGTGCCAACAGAAAAACCAAATCCTGGTGAGAAATATAAAGTTGATCCAGTTGATGAAGAAGCTGTCGTAAAAAGTTCATCGGCAGATCTCATTGTTGTCGCTAATAATGATGAAAAGATCAAATTGACTCCAGTTCCCGATGAAAATGGAAAAACTGTGAGAGTTGTTGACGATCGCGACACTGTCATTGTGGAGCAGTCAGATGAAGAACCACCAAATTACATCGCATTGGTGAAGATCTCATTCACCAAATACATGTCAACAGCAAAGGAATTTTTAAGACAACTTTTCGATCGTGAATCACGTCACACTGCTGACATTTACGGATTTCTCTTTCTTTGTGATTTCGTGAACTTCTTTGTGATTCTCTTCGGATTCTCAGCATTTGGAACACAAGAAGGCGATGGCGGTGTGTTGAGTTACTTTGAAGAGAATAAAGTTCCAATCACCTTCCTTCTCATGTTGATCATTCAATTCTTCTTCATTGTCGTTGATCGTGCACTTTATTTAAGGAAAAATATGTTTGGAAAAATCATTTTCCAATTTATTCTTATTGTTGGTCTTCACATTTGGATGTTCTTTGTATTACCAAAAACGACAGAACGACAATTTAACGCAACACGACCACCAGTGATGTACTACATGATCAAATGCTTTTATCTCTTATTCTCGGCTTATCAAATTCGTTGCGGATATCCAACAAGAATTCTTGGTAATTTCTTGACGAAAGGTTTCAGCATGTTGAACTTTGCTGGTTTTAAGATCTTCATCAATATTCCCTTCTTAATGGAACTTCGAACACTCATGGATTGGGTGTGGACAGACACGTCAATGACACTTTTCGATTGGTTGAAGATGGAAGACATTTTCCAGAATATTTATCAACTGAAATGTTCACGACAATTGGAAAGTGATTTACCAGCACCACGAGGTCAGAAGAAAGGTCCAGTAGTGAAGTATTTGATGGGTGGGGGAATGATTCTTGGAATCATTGCGGTCATTTGGTTCCCACTTGCATTATTTGCATTCAGTAACACGGTGGGTGAACCGAACATTCCTTACGATGTTTCAGTGTCCCTACGACTTGGACCTTATGAACCAGTTTATGCGATGAGTGCACAGGAAAGTGACATTTCTCAGTTAAACTTTATTGATTGGGAAAATTTCCAACGACGTTATCAGAAAGATAAATCAGCGATCACTTTCTTAAGCAACTACGAGCACGTTGATGTTGCGGCTGTTAAACTTGGCTCAAATTCTTCAACAATTTGGAATATTTCACCACCTGACAAGGAACGATTGTTGAGTGATTTGAAGGAGAACAAAACATTGACAAGTCGATTCCGTTACAAGGTTCAAAGAAAGTCACATTCGAAAGAGAATCCGGGAACAATTGAAGATGAACATTCATACGAGTTTATGGGAAATGACACGATTGGACTTCAATTGATTAAAATGTTGGAAGAAACAAGTGCTGCATTTAATGTGATTGTTCCAAACATGTTGCCAAAGTTCCTGAAAGTTAAAAATTCAGGAATGCTAAAGCCAGCACATCAACTGTTACGTGAAGCAGAGACGGATGATGATGAAGCTAATTACAGGAACTTATCATTGAAACTTTATGAAACAAAATTATCAGACACAGCGCCTTCACTCTTTTGGTGGGAAACAACTGAGCTTTGTAATGAAACTTACTACAAGAACGTTCCCGATGGCTTTCTTTATGCAAATTGTCATAATCATATCACGATGTATTTGTTTTGTGACAAGATCTTTCCAAGTACAATCAGTTCGATTGCTGCTGGTGGTATCATTGGTCTCTACACTACTTTGATATTTGTATTCTCACGATTTTTACGTGGAACAATCTTCTCGGGATCGAGTAGTAAAATCATGTTTGATGATCTTCCATATGTCGATCGTGTACTTCAACTATGCTTGGATATTTATCTTGTTCGTGAATCACACGAATTCACGCTTGAGGAAGATCTCTTTGCCAAATTAATCTTCTTGTATCGTTCACCTGAGACGATGATTAAATGGACACGTCCGAAGAAGGAGACAGGCGATGACGACACGGACAGTTTGTCATCAGACTCGAAAGTCAGTTTGAGAAAGAAAACTGGTGAGACATTTTATTAAATTAAATATCACACAAATTTATTTACATTGTCTTACAGAGTAAACAAATTGCCTTAAATCAAACATACATGAGAGTCAATTGATCATGATGAATCAGGAAAATTGTTTTGAAAAAATGAAATTTTTAAATCACGTCGTCGCGTCTCTTGCGAATAATTAAGAATCGAATTATTCTAGTTGCTAAGTAGTTATGAGTGTAAGTTTGAGTAAAGTTTTCAATTGACAGTAGCTTTGAATTAAGAAAAAAAACTTTTTGTTGATTTCCTTCCTAGAATTCTTTCATTTGCTACCAGTTAAAATCTGAGAAATTTTTTCATTTAAAAAACTCTTTGAATCTGATTACAATTTTACTTTTCTATCCTTAAATTATTTTATCTTCGGCTGGGTTTCAAAGCATTTCAGAATTGTTTAATTTTATGTTAGATCCAAGCTAGTCAATTAAATCATTATCGTCATCAACCAAGATCATGATGAATTTAAAGATGGTAAATCATTTATTTAAGTTAATTTTTGAACTTTTCTCACAAGATATTAAGAGAACAAGAAATATAAATAAAAAGATAAAAATTGCATTTTTACTTAAATTTAGCTTAAAAGACATTTTTAAAGAAGATTTTAAAGTTCATAATTTTCAGGAATGATGTAAAAGCTTGTGGCGTGTTACATGTTGCAATACTACATGTGAACAACATGTTGATTCGACCTACAATGTAAAAGTGTGTCGTCGACATGTGACAAAACTCATGTCGCATCCAAGTTTTTCAATGCCACACAACACAACTTCTTATATTAAAGTTAAAATCTTAGTAAGATTCTAGAAGTTTTCTTGAAATGTCTGTTGTAAGAATAAAAATGTTCAGTTATGTTTTCCTGACTGAATTATCAGCAAATTTGGATGAAGTGGGAGAACATCTTGGAAGCTTTTAACAAATTCATGTCCCATTGCTTCATGACGTTGTCTTTCTTTTTCTGCCAGTAACAATTCTTCATTTAATTTTTGCTTGTATGCAAGATCTCTCAATTTCTCTTCTTGTTGTTGTTCCAATAGTTCACGTCCATAATGAAATGCTTTAAACTTTTGTTTTCTAAGATTTTCTCTGATTTTATCTCTTTCAATCATCTCAAGCTCATTAAACACAAAATTTTCTTTCTTTTCTTTTTCAATTTCTTGGTTCTCCGATAATTCTTTTTTTCTGATTTGTTCTAATTGTCCAAGACGGGCAGTTTTATTGGCAATTAATCGTCTTTGATTGAATTGGTTTCGTTCATTCCATTCCTTTTCTAAAGTTTTCTTATGAATATCGTCGAGAAGTTTTTCCTTCTCCCGCTCAAAATTTTCATTGTGACGTCGTGTTTTCATCAAATGATCCAAATAAGTGAAAACATTCAATCGAAAATGTTCTCTTTCAATTCGTTCAGCTTCTTCCTTCATTCGAATTTCGCGTTTAATTCTTTCATTTATCATTTGATCATTTTTCAGTTCACGTTCATGTTGCTTCTTCTTGTAATTGAAATTATCGCACATTTGATGAGCGATTGATTCACCGATGGTTTTCTTTATGATCTGATCTCTTCTCAATCTTTCCTGGGTTTCTATATATTCTTGTTTTGCTATCTCTTCCAGCTGTTTTCTCTCTTCATTAATTTCTTCCTGAACTTTAAGATTTTCTTGAATTTTATCATCCATTTGATGTTTAAGAAAATTTTGGATTTCTTTTTCGTGACTCCAACGATTTTGCATTAGGTTCGTTTCATGATTGAACCTTTGAAGTAAATTTCGTGATTCGACTTCATTCCAAGCTGCTTCATAATCTTTCTGGAGCTGTTGATGTTTTTGATGATCTTTTATTTGCTCAAGTTGACATAATTTTGAATCTCTCACTACAATATTCCTCAAAGCTGGTCGAATTTCATCGCAATTATTACTGCAAAAAATGAACTAATTAAAATTTCATTTCAATTATTTAGAACTCACATAAACATTTGGATTTTTTGTTTTCGAATAAATTCTTCATCAGCTCGTCTCTGTTGATCTTTCCAGACATTCATTCGATTTAATCGTTCTTGAAAATTCCTTGGCAATATTTCGGAATTCATTTTAAGTGTTGTTAAAGTGAAGGAATGACAGAAGTGGAAAATTTCAATGCATAAATTACTTGGTAACAAAAAACAAAATTATTTACATCAACAATTATGACGACATGACAACGAACCTTGTTGTTAAGTTTCTTCAAAGGTTGATAGGAATATTTCGCATAATCTGTTTATTCAAACTTAACAACCTGTAAGATTTATTAAAAAGTGTCTTTTCCAATCAATTTTAATGTGATGAGAAGAACTGCAATTTGATTGACTGAAAATTTTAAGAACAGAAAAGAAAAACAATTTTTATACATCAGTATTGTCATTACGATTCGAATTTTATTAACATTAAACATGCCATGTTTAAATAATTTAATTTATTTTACATAAATAAATGTTTAGTTATTATTTATTTAAGTTAATTGTCATTTCCATCGCCTTTGTAGTGAATTTTGTAATGATCGCGTAATTGTGATTGAAGTCGGAAAGCGTCAGTACAAATTGTGCATTTGTAAACCTTAAGTAAAATATAAATGAGATGAAGATGCAAGTAAATTAAATTCAAAAATTCTTACAAGAACTCCAATGTGAATTTTCTTATGTTTCAAGAGATCATTTGACTGAGCATAAGCTCGATCGCATCCTTCAATGTCACACTTGTAAGGCTTCTCGCCGGTATGTGTACGAAAATGTCGCTTCAAATGCTAAAGAATTAGAAAATGTTTTCCTAATTTCTGATTCATTAATAAATATTTTCAATTTACCTCAGAAGAATTAAATTTCATTGGACAAGCTTCACATTCATATGGTTTAATACCTTCATGAATCGTTCTAATGTGTTTTTTTAAAGAACTTCCTTTTGTAAATGCTGATCCACATGTGCTGTTTAAATGAAAGACAATTCAATTTATAATTATTATTGTAATTGTTAAAGATGAAATGTCGATTAAAAATTATGAAATTTTGTCTTTTCATCAAATTTTTTTATTCGACCCATCATCGATTTAAACTCAAACTCACTTGCAAACATGCGGTTTTATGCCAGAATGCGAACGAATGTGAGAATCCAAACTTGCTGTAAATAAATTTTCTTTTTAAATTAGAGTTTGGTTTATAAAATTCGAAAGAAATTTACCTTTGCATGAAAATTTCCCTGGACAAAGATGACACTCAAATTCTTTAAGATTCAAATGTCGTTTGACATGTTGACGAAGATTCGAAGGATTATTAAATGACTTCCCGCATTCTATGAAATTAAGCACATAAATGTGAAAAATACTTTCAGAAAGCAAATTTATTGTTAACTCACCTGAACATAGAAAAGGTTTCTCTGACGTATGCGTTCGAAGATGGTCCTTTAATGTTGATGATTGTTGGAAAGCTTTATTGCAAATATTACAAACGTGTGGTCGAAGATTTTTATGTCTATTTAAATGATCGATGAGATGTGAACCTTGACTAAACATTTTCGAACATATGAGACATTTATGTGATTTATTTTCAGGATGTTTTCGACTGTGTCGTGTCAAGTCATTGAGTTTCTTAAAAACTTTATCGCATAAATTACAAGGAAATTCTAATTTGTCCATAATATCTTTGTGAGTTCTCATATGCGACGCTAAAGCTTCTTGCACTTTGAATGGTTTTGAACAAACAACACATTCGTAGGTTTTCTCATCTTGAACTTTTATTGTCATTCCACTGTGTAAAATTGCGTGTCGTTTAAGTGAAGCGTCGGTGAGAAATCTTTGAAAGCATCCTGGCTGTTCACATGCAAATGGTTTTTTATTAACATCATGAGTTTGCAAATGTCGCAATAGTTTTGAAGGCTTCTCAAAGAACCTTAGACATGTCGAGCATTGATGACGTTTCGGAGTTTTCTTTATTTTACTCGAGTCTTTTTCTTCTGAATCTTCGTTGATATTAATTTCTGTTTCTATTTCTCCGAATGTTATTTCTTCTACGTTTTGTTTACAATCACTTAATTCAAACTCATTAGTTTCTAACTTTAGCGGCGAATCTCCATCCTGAGTTGTAAAATCGATTGTTTCTTCTTTTATTGATGTTTGAGGCTGCAGAAACTTTCTAAGCCGTGAATCGCTGTCAACAGAGACATTATTAAGTTTATGAGCACGACAAAGAATTTCTAAACATTCAGGACACAAACTGCTTGGTAGATTGTCATTTTCTTGTGGAACCATACGAAGACTATATCAAAAAAAAAGTTAGTTCATTAAAAACTGTTTTAGATGAAAAAAATTAAGAAAAAAGTTTTTATTTACCTGTAACAAACTTTTCTTAGTATATTTATGATAGGAACTGCTTGAAATTCATATTTAAATATTGACTCAAGTTCCTCAGATTCACTTAAACAGATCCTACATATCTTTTCTACTTTCAAATCCATTTGATTTTATATTTTTATTTTTTAAAAATAATTTTTGTTTTGTTTGCATCTAATAAAGGGGTACGAAGGAATGCATTGTAATTACATCAACTGTATACCCCGTTTGTTTTCCTTTTTGCGCAAAAATTACAATTCCTTAAAATATTAATGTCTGATGGTGTGTTTTAGTAACAATGGATAAATCAAACGAAAGAAAATCTGTGAAAAACATAGATTCATCGTTATATGTATTCGATAAAGAATTTTATCCAGGTACTTAAAGTCACAAAATGATTTCGCAGTTACGCTTCAGATTTATTTGTTTAATTATAGAAACCTGGAAGGATGATTTCATAATGAGTGGATATTTGTACAAATTTCGTCCTAGAGAAGTCAATGCTGAGAATTATGACCAAAAAATGAGATTCTGGAAGGAAATGATCGAAAATTACTGCGAATACAAAGGATCAGCTGACGTCACAATCCAGGAACTGAAGAGAGTATTCAAAAGAAAAGGGACTGTTCCATATTGCTTGTCAGATGTATTGAACAGTATGTCAACTGAGAACAGTGTGATGGCTAAAGACGATTTCATGAGCGAGCAAAAATCTTTAGCAAGTTGGGCTGTAAATTCTCTTATTGTGAAGCCAATGAGCTGGGGATTCGGAAAAATCAAAGAGACATTAATCGGAAGTAACGCTATCAATGAAGAAACAACATTTGTTGTTAAAAGTGCCTTAATTTATCAATCAAAAATACTAGAAAAACATGTTAAGGACCGACATAGCTACAACAACATCATCTCGATGGATGAACTTATGGAAAATCTTCACGAAATTGAAGGCTTATCTCGAGATGGAGTTTTCCTCGCATTACATCATCTTTCTTCTGTTGAAAAACGAGTTTATATTGAAGATAACAGAGATGAAAACGAATCAACTACACATCACAAATTGCTCATGAAATTTTGCGAGCCACATGAGAAACTTCAACCAATTACAGAAATTGAAAGAAGTATTTACAACCTCGGACAAACCGAAAAATTTCTTATAAAAACTATCGACAAGAAAGAAAAAGATTTGGACGACACTTTAAAGAAAGTCAAAAGTTCTGTCAAGGATGGAAAGAAACAAATCGCGAAAACATTTTTACGTAAGAAACATTTGATAGAAAATGATTTGATTAAAAGCATCGGCATTCTGGATAATGTTCAAGCGATGTTGCAGAAAGTGCAATCATCGAAAAGTGACAAAGAAATATTTAATGCTTATAAGATTGGATCTGAAGCTATTAAGAAGGCATTCTCGGAAGAAGGAGTCAATCTGGATAAAGTTCACGATGTCATTGAAGATATGCAAGAGATTTATCAAGACCAGGAAGAATACGAAGCTGCCATTAGTGAACCTTTACGTGGACCTAATGCAATCGACGATTCTGATCTTGAGAGAGAACTCATGGAGCTGATAAATGAAAAAGGAAATGAAGTTGAAAATAATCAGAAGCCTGGCAATGACGGCGGACAAAAACCAAAAACAATCATCACAGAAAATGTCACAGAAGACCTCGAATCACTTGATCGTGAACTTGAAATGCGTCTTAAACGTCTTCGTTCTGACTTATCCGACATCGATGAAACAAATCCTCAAGAAGTCACAACAAATACTCGAAAAGCTGGAGTTTTACAATAACTTTTTTTGAATAAGTTTGCTCATATCTTCTTCCTTACTCTGACTAATTAACAACAATTTCAAAGACTTAATAAAATTTTCATACTAATTTCATGACGTTGAAATCTAATTTTTTATTTTAAATATTTACCCACTGCAAATTATAATTTCAAGTACTCAACTCAAAGATATTTTCCAGCTACTTACTCCCAAAACTTTCAAAATAATTTCAGAGAAAATTGCATGATGAATAATTAACAAATTATGTGATTAAAAAAGTATGTTACAGGAAAGAATCGCTAATTGTGATGAAGAGAAGAAAGAGTTAAATGAACTCTCATTGATTGATGGCAGAATAATTTAATCATCTGAATCGATGCCTCGAAATCAATCACAGATACGAAGAAATAAATGACAATCTTCTTAATATAAATTATTACATGATAAAGAAAATTTTCTGTAATTAAAACAAACTTCCTTCTACCGTTAATCAATAAACATAAGAAAATCTTTTACATGATATTATTCATTACAACTGAAAGAAGAAGAATTAAGACAACTTGGAAGACAACGTCAGGCGGAGTTTTCTCTTCTTTTTCCCTATTTATCAGAATGAAAACAGATTTGTCACGTGTTATGCTATTTATTTACTATTTTTATTAAGGAATCATCTGTTGCGCTTATAGACAGAGTTTGTAATAGATAGTACTAAGGGATGCAGTAGTCAAGGCAACGGGATGTATCAACATAATGCGCAAAATCTTTGAGAATTTTTCTTTTTTGGGTTTTGTTTTCAACTTTTTTTTCACGTCGTAAAGTTGTAAGAAAATGACGTGAAAACAGAAATTTCGTCTTAATTCTTTGTTTCAACTCAAGTCAGTGTGTCTAATTTTTTTACGATAACAAAATATCGATGTGAAGAATTGTTGAAACATTTCAAGAGTGGCGAAAGTAGATTTAAGAAATTTTCTTTTGTTTTTTGAAGTTTTTTGGTGTTTTCTGCTTTCAAAATGATGGCCCTAAGAAATATGAAAGCTAAATGGAAATGCCCGGGTGTAATTAAAGTAAAGAAAGGATGTTTATATCGAATATTAATCATTGGAATTGTTCTATTGTCGTCGTTGTATTTGATTGACTTTTCACGATCTCATCTGACAGAACTTTCGAGTTATACGAAGATATTTCAGAGGCCGAATTTTTTGGGGAAAGATGACGATTACAGCAACGATTTTGAAGAAATTGTCGATGAAAATTACTTTGTGAAGACAAATGGTTGTCGAATAGTCAAAATGGATGTGATGAACGATCAGATTAAAAGTTTCTTCCCATCGGAAAATGACAAACCAACGCCTATAAAATGTGGACCGCCACCATTAACAGACTCCGATGAAAGATATTTGTGGATTAATCTCACTGAAGTTCAATTAAAAAAGTTTTACAACATGTCATCAGCAGATCAACTTCAATGCTACTATACATCATTCAGTAGATTAACAGATTATTCTGTAGTCAGAAACGAAACGTTGACTCCTTTGCATTTTGGACAACGTTCGAAAATCGATTCTGAATATATTCAGGTTTATTGCGAAAATACAAATCAGTCACAAGTTTACACAGATTATCACAATTTCTTTCCTAAACCACCTGATGAAGTTAAGCAACCCTTGAAAACTGAAGAGAAATACAACGTAATGATATTGGGAATTGATTCCGTTTCAAGATTAAATTTTCATCGCATGTTTAATCATTCAGAGAAAACCATAATGGAAAATTTGGGTGCGATTGAAATGCAAGGATATAACAAAGTTGGTGATAACACTTATCCCAACTTAATTGCTTTTCTCTCAGGATTATCATCAGATGAACTCAATGGAGCTTGTCTTTCAAACGCATCAATCGCCTTTGACAATTGTCATTTCATTTGGAATGATTTTAAGAACAAAGGATATCAAACATTGTTTGCTGAAGATTCTGCAGATCTTTCATTGTTTAATTATTTCAAGAATGGATTTGAGAAGCAACCAGTTGACAATTATTTTCGTACAATGGTCCATCAAATGGAAAGCGAAACTGCATCACATAAGATTGGAAATTACAAACTTTGTTGGGGAAGTCATCGGCCCATTGATGTGTTACTTAAATATGCAAAGAAATTCGCTAAAAGTTGTGGCGATCAACAATTTTTCTCTTTCTTTTGGACAAGTTCAATGACTCACGATTTCATTAATTATCCATTACTTATTGATAAAGATGTCAGCGATTTGCTTACATTACTTAAGGATGAAAAATATTTAGAGAAAACTGTTCTATTCATGTTGAGCGATCATGGAATCAGATTTGGTTCGTTTCGTCAGACAACTTTTCAAGGAATGGTTGAAGAGAGATTACGTAAGATAATTCAAATAATTATTACTAAAGAACATTAATTTAATGTTGAACATTCCTTAGCATTTTTATTCGCAGTATTCCCAAAGACATTCAAACAAAAATACCCATTGGCAATCAGGAACTTCAGACGAAACTCTCGAAGATTAACAACACATTTTGACATGTTTGAGACATTAAAAGATTTGTCAAACATAGATGGGAATGTTTTGAGTAATGAAATGTTGAGAAAACGTGCTTCAGATTTGAATGAAAGAGAAGCCAATTTACCTCGAGGGATAAGCTTGTTTCTTGAGATCCCCGGGCATAGAACTTGTGATGCTGGGGGTATTGAAAGGTGAAATTGAGTTTGAAAGCTTAAATATGTAAATAAATTATTCACTTGATGCAATTTATTTCAGTCACTGGTGTACATGCTATGAAAAAATTGAGCTCAGTAATTCTGATCAAAGAGTTCAAAAAGCCGCACGTTTTGTGGTGAAAACATTAAATGAATTAATTAAAGGTCACAAGACCTGTCATTTCTTATATTTAAATTCAATCATATCAGCTCATATGCACGTTCTTAATGAAAAAGTTTTTATGGTTCCACCGAATCGAGAGAAAGTTAAAAGTTTGCGACTTCCAAAGGGACGGAAAAAGATTTACGATATCACGGTTAAGATTACAACAAAGCCAGGTCCAAGACCCGAGTAAGATAACTTGTCTATTTATAATACAAAGGATTTAAAATGATTAATTAACTTTCCCTTTTCTTTATTATTTTAAGATTCGAATCAACCGTGAGATTGGATGAAATTAATGATGAAATTAAGCTAACAGGAATTATTAGCCGCATCAGTACGTACACGAAAGGATGCATAAAAGATTCATTTATTGAGAAATATTGTTTTTGTGATCCAATTTAAATATTACTTACATTGCACATTCATCAAATTTATGATAAAAAGACAATTAATCAAAATATATTTTCCTTCTCTTTGAAATTTGAAAAAATTAAAGCAAATGTTTTGATGACATGACATTGACGAATAAAAATGGTTTCAATTTCCAGGGATGTCTTCAATCTTCAAGAAAGGCATAATTAAAGGAATTCAAATTTTCATTTCATTAAAATTTCAATGGATTCTGATTCAAAATTGACACAATTGACGATTGTCAATCGAAAAGATGACAACATTGCTTACTTAAAAAAAACAAGAAATGATTCATCAGAAATTCATTAAGAATCAATTAACAGTTTTATTTACACCGTCACGAATAAGAAATGTCAACAGAATTAAGATAAACAAAATAAGATTCTCTTTTCAAAAGTATAAAGATATAAATGAAGTATAAAAGATCACATAATGTTCAGAATTTGCTTGCTTAAATGTTTAAAGACTGCCCAAACGAATTGAACGGTTAGGAGAAATCCAACCATGATTGTAAGGAATCCAAGGAAACTGATATGTTCACTTCCAATAGGACGAATATAATCACTCAAAGTACTAAATCCGCCTTCCTTCTCTATCCATGTTCCCGTTTCAGCTGCTAGAATCGTGTAAACAGTGTCAATAATTGATTGGATCATATCAGACTGTCCGGCTTTAACACAGTCGGCAGCGATAGCCGATGAGATTGTTAGAAAGCTTATAATCTTTCCCCAAGTAATATCATTGTGCTTAAAGAGATTCTTTCCCACATTTTCGATGATGATTGGAGCAACTTCAGGTTCAGGAATTGTTACGTTACAGAAAATTCGAGGATGTAAACGTTCAAGTTCTAAAGACATACGATTTATAATGACTAAGATATGATGCATTTGACGAACTGTGGCATGTGGTAAGACATTTATTGTCATCGAAACCTTTCGTGACATCAAACCATTTGCACGTAATTTGCATCGAATGAATTGCGTGCTAATGCATTGTATCTGAAGGAAAGTTAAGTTCATTAGCATTTGACTGATAATAAATGACAGACGATGAACAACTTTACCTGAGATGAAATATCATCAGATAATCCAGTCCATTTTTTCAAGCTCTTATCTTTATGTTTCCATCCATTCTGATGACTTTGTGTTGTCATATGATTTACAAACATGAAGAGCCTTTGATTAAATATAAAAAAATTAATAATTTTTCGCTGATGCAACAAACTTTATAAAAAGACTTTTCATCACAGCACTGAGATTTAAATTTTATCTCAAAACAGAGAAATTGAAATTCGTGTTTACAGTAAACTTGGCTCAGGGGAATGAAATTGTTCATTTTTACAAGGCGTAGGATTGGAAAAGATTTGAAAATCATCAATTAACGGTTTTGATGTAACTTTGTAACTAATTGAAGATCTGGTGTGATTTGAATTATGGAAATTGTCATCGTAAAATAAATTAAGGCAAACTTATGGAAATTGATTTTAAGCTTAATTTATAATGAATTCATTTTTTGCTGTTGTGCTATGGAAAATAATCAACTTGGCTTACTTTGTGCACGACTTTGTGCAACTACACGACATTTTTATGCAAATTTCGTTAATTACATATTAAAAGTTTAGGTAAGAATAATTAAGTTTAATTATTTCGTATGTAACTGTCAAGGTAAGTCGACTAGTTTCATAAGTTGTTTATTAATAAAATACGATTAGACGTTTTTCTTATACTTAAGCAGATATTAATTTTGTTTTATCTTATCGAATTTGTTATCATATCTGATAAGAGTAATTTATTTTCTAAAAAACCTTTCATGTCTTAAGATGTTGATTAATATAAACACGTTTTAAAAGCATTCAATCTTTGAACCTTTAACGTGTTTGACGTTTTGAATAACTTGCGATTATTTGTTTTAAAAATCAACACGATGAGTCGTGAATTGTATTTTCACCTTCCTGATGATGCACCATCGACATTCTCAAGAGATGAACATCTTGAAAATTTGCCACTACCTCCTTTAGAAGACACATTGAGACGATATTACAGAAGCCTTTTGCCTTTTGGAACTGAAGATGAGTTGAAGAGATCTCGCGAGATAATTAAAAACTTTCAAGAACATGTCGGACAAAATTTACACAAAACACTTAAGAAAAAGGCAGAAAAAGAGAAAAACTGGGTAACTGAAAAACAAAACGATTAAAATTAATTAAAATTGCATTAGGTACAAAATCAAATTAATTATCAGGTTGAACGCTGGTGGGAAGATTTGGCTTATCATACAACTCGTCTTCCTCTGACACCTTATCAAAGTATGGTGCAACCGATGAGTTTACTTTTAGTGGGTGTTAAAGAATCTTCTGAGAATCGATTAAAAATTACTGCAAGGAATTTACATTATACAACAATATTCTGGGAACTCATCAGAAACGAGAGACTTCGACCACCTACAAACCCTGACGGATCAATTGTCTTCTCAGCAAATCTCTTTAAAAGATTATTCAACGCATGTCGAATTCCTGGAGAGATCAAAGATGAGATAACTGAATATTTTAAGACAAGAAATGAAGGAAAATGTTCAAGTACTTGTGTTGTTATTGGTCGTGGTAAAATATTTTACTTCGATTTGATTGTTGAAGGTCGAGTTTTGACCCCACAAGAACTTTTATACATTCTAATGCACGTTCGAAGTAATATTGAAAATCAATCAGAGTCGCAACTTCTGCCACTACTGACCGCTGATGAACGAACGAGTTGGGCTAAAAATCGTAAATATCTTAAAGAGATATCAAAGAATAACAAAAGATTATTGGAGATTATTGAATCATCGCTTGTGATTTTATCTTTTGATGAATATGAACCAAATGATGATTCAGATTTTTCCCAACAATTGCTTTTAGGGGATTTCAGTTCAAGATGGAATGATAAATCTCTTGCATTAGTTTCATTCAAGAATGGAAGAAGTGGATTTGTTGGGGAACATTCAGCTTACGATGGAACTGTTGGCATTGCACTTTCAACATATTTATCAATGTGTTTAATGGAAGATGATGAACCGAATTGGGAAGAGCTTCCTGAAAATCGAATAATTCCACAAGAAATAAAATTCAAGATTGATGATCACTTAGAACGAGAGATCGTCAGATTACAGAATGATGTTAACCAAATTAAAAATTCTGTGACTGTGCAATATCAAGAATTCATTGGCTATGGAAAAAAATTTATGAAGCAACAGAAAATTCATCCTGATTCATTTGTTCAAATGGGATTACAGTTGGCTTACTACAAATTACATAAATCTCTTGCTCCGACTTATGAGACCGCAACAATGAGAATTTTTTATCATGGAAGAACTGAAACTGTTCGTAGTTGTTCATCGGAAGTTAAAGATTGGATTGATACAATGAATGATTCAAATGCGACTGCTCACGATAAAGCAAAGACTTTCAAACACGCAGCCGATTCACAAACTTTTCTTATGAATGAAGCGAGGAAAGGCAATGGAATTGATCGTCACTTGTTTGGACTTTGGTGTGTTGCACATGAAAATGGAATTCCAATTCCTGAAATATTTGAAGATCCGCTTTATAAGAAGAGCGGGGGTGGTGGAAATTTCGTTCTTTCAACGTCAACTTTGGGTTACTCGATTAATGTTGGTTTTGTCGCACCGATGGTTATCGACGGTTACGGAGCTTTTTATACAATGCTTGATGATAGTGTTTGGATGATTTTGACAGCTTATCGTGATAGTCAAGTCACGTCAAGTAAAAAGATGTACCAATCTTTCGTTGATGCGATGAACGAGATTCGAGAAATTTTAGAGTCATCAGATGGTGGAAAGTTATAAAATGGAGCGGAATGAATGGAAAAATATGATTTATGATGTCGATAAAAAACATCATTGTCACGATATATCTATTTACTTATTTATTCTATCCACTTGTTTCTGCGAAATATCCTACGACATTTCTTAAAGAGCTTAATCTTCGGATGAAAGGAAAGTTTTCGGTAGTCTCGAAAATTCTTTCAAACTTTTCCTTCTTTCAATAAGATGACTAGAAAGTTTGAATTCCTTCTCTTCCATCGTTAATCGAGATATTTAATAGAAACTAATTGATTGAATTAATCTTACTGTTCAATAAATTCTTCAATCAAATATTCAAATTGCTTTATTCATGTCGTAAAATGTTAATTTGACTTTTTCAATAAAAATTTTTCTTTACATTATGTGTAAGTCATTTGCAAGTAATGAAAACTCCACAACATTTCATATCTACTTAGTAACAAATGTTGGATGGGGAGGAAATTAAATATTTTTTAGCCTTAAGTGATTGAGAAGAGAAAGAAATTCTAAGGAAGCAAACCACACCACCACATTCCATGAACTGGTTGCCTAAGGTTAAAGTACTTTCATTCAAACGATTTTTATTTCGGTTTCACTTTACGACTGTTTATTTGTTCAACGACGAGAAAGCGAGTTTTGTGGTATAAGATTCAATAAATAAATGAGAATCCCAAGAATGATAATAAATTTTTGGGGAAATCTTTGTGTCTTCAACACAAACGGGACATTCCACGGCAACAGGAAACATTTTAAGTCAATGAATAAATAAATTTGTTGCCATGGCATGTCCCACATTGTGATTTCATGTACTAAGTTTAATAAGATTTCAAGAGAAAAAAAGCTTCATAAATAGGAAGGCGTAAAAGCGAATTATTTGCAAAACATATCGATTGTTATGAACGTCACAATTTTTATGCATCAATGGAAATATTTGTCGTATTTTTTCTATTTCCACCAACTATAAAAATATGATCGAATTTGTGACCTTTCAAGCTTAGCCTGTAACATAAAATCTTGAGATGATTTCACATTAATCATTGGTTGAACATAAATTTGAAACATAAAGCGACCAAATTACAGATTACAGAACGAATCGACTTCCCTAAGGACTTTCACACCAGAGAGAGGGAAACATTATGTGACGTCAATTGAAGCAAATTGGAGGAGATGGAATACAATCTTAAGAGCTCTTGTAACACGATAAAATACAAATTTATCATATAAAATATAAATTATAGTAACAATGTTAGAAATTAATTGACTTCAAGCATTAATATGATGAAAGTAATTTCCACTTTAATGAGGAAATGTTAATTTAGATTTATTTTCCTTGTCATTCAATTTAAAGAAAATTTCTTAAACATATTGCGAAGTGAAAAAACTTTTTTTTTTTTCTTTTTCACATTTTTATAACTTTTAGACAATCTTCATGGTGTTGATTTTGATTAACCACATGACCGAGCAGAAAAATCATTTAAAATATTGAAGCCACTTGATGTGAAATTATTGACGACCTGAATGCGTCATTCGTTTCAGCTGAAAATTGGTGATAATGAACTTGAGATGATATCTCAGGATCTTGTCGTGTTTGTGAATTCTTGCGGAAAAAACGACAAAAAGAAGGGAGAAAGGTTTCTTTTTCTTATGATTTTGTATTTATGTGGAGAAGCATTAGGAATGTGCTACTATATCAGTCAGTAATAAGCATCAATCGCTCTCACGATGTCATAAAAACACGCAATAATTTTTTATGTCATCATTTTGCTGTTGGTTTTTTTTGATTCTGTGCTGATTCCTTTAAAGCGATATTAAATAATACCCAATAAATGCTGCGAAAGTTGTCATCGAAATGTTTTTTACTGCGTAAAATGTTCACCAGTTGTTATCATGCTGACATTACCATTCATTCATCTTGTGGAGCTTTTGACAATCCTCCATTGCATTGACAATCTCGGATTATTTGAAACGATCATTTGCAGTATAAACCACAACTGAAGACTGTCTCGAAGATTCTACTTATAAATATTCATATTTTATTGATTTCGGATGCCAAAAACATTATCTCATCCATCTAAAAATGAACAAGAGTGAAAGAGAGTCAAGTTTTACTCGATTTTATAATAGAATGTGACATCAGAAGTAAAAGCTCTTTACATATGCACTAAATGCAAGAAGAAAAGCTTTTTCCCTGACGTCTATCTATCAACTAAAATTTTTTATTGTTCATTTTTCTTTTAAGTTTTTTCTGTTCATAATTATGATGTCAATTGTTGTTACATTTTTGTTTCTATCTGAAGAATAAAATGAAATACTTAGAGAGAGTGAGAGAGATGAAATATTTGTGTTTTATAATGTTTCTCAAGAGATTGATAAATATTTACATGCAAAGATTTATAAAGAATTTTCATATATATGACAGCTTAAGCCATCTTCACGTTTTTATATTGTCTCAAGGATTTAAATGTAAATATTTTAAATATTTTTCTTTCTTTCTTCTTCCTTTCATTTTAACAGTAAGTATGAAAATTTATCTTTCTTTTCTGTCAATTATTTGTTTAAGCTTCATTAGCTTTTTCGTATTTTTATTATGTAATTAAATGTGACGTTGTCAATTCAACGATATCTACCACTGGTTGTAGCTTTCAGATGAAGAAATAATTAGTTCACTTTTGTGTGTTATTGTCATTTGAAATTTTACGTTTCTCTTTTTTGTCTTTTCCGATTCTTGTAAAAATATTGTCAATAATTTCATTTTGGTTCCATTTGAATTAAATTTTCTTTTTAATGGATATGATTGTTGTAAGAAAAGTTGTTAAAATGTCTACAACAACAGTTTTGTTATTTAGTTTTAATCATATTTAGGTATTCGGAGTTGTCGTTTGATGCCACATATCTCAAAAATTGTCATTTGTCACATGCACAGCAGCATTGAAATATCTGCTAAAGCGACTTCCACGGTTAATAAAAACTTTTCATATATTTTTACAATGTGGAAAATGAAGAGAAATAATACGAAAAGCCATCAAACATTCCAGCCGTACAATGTATTAAGAAAATAATTGATGATGGATGGCTTTTCGTTTATTTTCATTCCCACAAATTTGTTTTTTCTTTGTCCTTATTATTGATGATGAGAGAAAAATTGGAAGATAAAGACTCGATCTCGTCTTCTTGAAGTAAGACGACGAATTTTTGTTCAATTAGAAAAGAGAGATTTCAATTTCACTGATATGGCGTTTTGTCATCTTAATGAGATTAAATTTGTGTTGGATATGAACTTTTCTTTCACTTAGATGAGCGGATGGGATGAACAATAAAGCCGAGGGGGAAAATCTTCCAACTCAAATAAAAAAGTTCTTTTTTTAACTTAAATTAAGCTTTCGCTTATGTTTGTTTATAATTTTTTGAGCGCCTTTCAATTATTTTAAACGATTCCTTTTTTTATGTAAATCTTTACGATCCTAAAGAGTGAGAGAAAAATATACAAAATGGAAAAGCTGATCCGAAATAAAAACAAAGTTAACGATGGGGAGCATTTAACATTCTTATTTAAAATCTATCCCGCCAACTTAATGCCGTCACTCTTGGTGGTGTCGATCGAAATCCTGAACGTGTTCTTAGAGGTGATGTTAAGCTCCTTACTCCTAAATTATTATCACTAAACCCCCAACGACTCTTTCCTCCGCTCCAATGATCAAAGTCACAACGTCTACAGGAAGTGGCGGCGATGGGGCGTAGATGATCTTGTGGGTAGAAGTATTCGACCTGTTTCAAATAAATAAAGCATTCAACATTCAATTTATTGCTGAAAATTTTCACGATTTTATTAAAATAATAAATTACAAGATTTTCTCTTTGCACATAACATTAATGCAATATTTAAATGACGTCACATAAATATGTTGTTTTGTATTTATAGTTCATAAGAGTGTAAAAGTACATAAACCAGAGCATAAACCATTAACACCTATAAATTTCATTCAAATATACATTGAACTTTATTCAGTAGATCGTAGAGTTATTCTATGTAGAAACCTATCGAAGTTAAAGCTCAACCAGCTTTGCGTCATGACCAGATGCATGCAATAAATTTGATTATTGATGTTGTACACCATAAAACGCTAAACATACATAAAATTCAAGATAAAATCGAATGAATGATTTTTCCATTCAATTGTTTTGTTTAATTTTGAAATTATTTTTGTATGTAAAACACAACATGCTGTATGTTGTTTGTCGTCTATCAATTTGTTCAATTAAGATTATCAGTTCTGATCGAGGTTGATTGAAAGCTCAAAATACTTTCAAATGGATTTCGGAAAGAGAAAAACAAGTTTAAGCTTATAAAATTGATTTTTAATAAAGCGACTTCCTTTCCATGAAGCTTATTTGAAGCTTTTTCCTTAGTGAATAAGTTAAGTTACAAACTATACATTATTATGGATCAACAAGGATTTAAATAACAATTTACGACAGCTTATTATAGAGATTCTTCATGGGGGTGGTAGACGAGACGACGAAGGAAATTATTTTTAATTAAAATCTTGTATTGAAATACAAAAAACTTCATAGATGAAAAGGATTCCGTACAAAGCCTTTCTTCACTTTCTCTAAGCTTCTTTATAGTTCTTCATAACTTGAAAGTTGAATAAAAACGACATTTTAAAGCAAACAAATAAGCTTCTATTTCTCATTGTGGCTTGAATATTTTCAAACATAAACTGCGAAGACTCATGAATGACATTTTTAACATTCAAAACGCAGTCGTCCCTTCATTCACATTTAAATAGAGAAAGACTTGCGTTGTTTGAAGAGATACAGAAAGGAACTAAAAGGCATTTTTAATTAACATTCCCGAAGTTCCTTTCGGGATAGGACAAGGCCACAGCTTGAATTTAATAACATAGAGAGTTGAGTATTCAAATAACATTGAAAACTTGAGCTACATTTGAGATAGAAATGGAGGGACGAGAGAGGCGACATTAACATCAAAATATTTAAATGTGTGTGGTAGATAAATGAAAATTTTTCGTCTTCCTTGTATCCAAATGCTTATATAAATATATTTAAGACACATAATGTCATTTGCACTAAACACTTTAGTAGAGAATGTGTCAAAGAGAGACGTGAAATTCTTTCCCAAAAAAAGAAAAAAAAAACTGATAAGATAGAATGACAGACAGAACGACAAATTTTTTGTTTTCGACTTGTGAAAATTTGAAGTTGGAACATTTAGATGAGATAAGAATGACTAAATGAAAAGAATTACAAATTGATTACTTTTAGTTGTCGAGAATAAATTTTCATGAAATGAAAAATGATTTTTGTTTCTCTTTTCTTTCATTTCTCTAGGCTACGACATGGAAACGAGAAATTTATTTAAATGATTTCAAAAGGTTTTACGATTTTTTCCATTCGTGACGTGCGACCTGACCGAGAGAAGCGATTCAAAGTCGGTCGGAACGAAGGAGTCCAACCGCTTCGTACCATCGACCCAATGTGCCTTTTTTGATATCCACTCGATGATGAAATAGTAGATGGATCAGAATCGGATGTTGCTTAGATTTTTTATTGTTATGTGACCAAATTGATAATATTTTGGATGACTTATTAAAACAATAAATCAAGATTCACAAACTTACCTAAAAATCTTTTCTCAGCTGGATTTTGGAAGTAAGGAAATTCATCGTTTAACGATTGCAAAAGTTCTTCATAGTCAACTGGTCCGTTTTGATAGAAAGGTTCCAATGCTTCGTTTTCTCCAACATCGCGCTTCTTTCTACCGCTTTTAATTGAGTTCTTCATTGACTGAATATTTCGCTTTCCATCTAAATATTTCAAGACGACAGACACAATTAACTAATTAAATTAATTTGTTGAAAGCAACAAAGAAATCTCACCATCCATGAGTTGTTTTCCATTAAACTTTGGCAATGCCCAATCGCGCGCTAAAGTCCCAACATTTCTTTTCCCAAATCCGTTTCTCGCCATTGATGCAATATTTCTTTTTCCAGATCCCGGAAACATGTTGTCCCGCATTATTGAACCGATGTTCCTTTTTCCGCCATTTCCATATGGCCATTGTCTTGCCAATGATTGAATATTTCTTTTCCCACCAATGTGACCGGAACGAGCCATTGAAGCGATGTTTCTCTTGTGACCGTTGTCGTCATCACTCAATGTCTCCATTTCGGTGTCAGGTTCCTTTGACGGTAATTGACCATTTTTAGCAAGTGTCGCAATTGAACGTTTCTCATCTTCCTCAAGTGGCTCGTAATATTCAGATTCATATGCAGCAGCTGCAAGAATGTTTTCCAAAGCATTTTCCAAAGATTTTCTATGCATCTCGTACTTGTAATTCTCGGGCTGTAATAAAGCGCGCACTACAGCACTCAACTCTTCAGCTGGCAAACTATCGTCAGAAGAATATTGTTGTGCGTTGACCTGGTTACGTGATGAGAATTTGTTTGATTAAATATTATTTCTAAAGATATCTCAAACACGTAGAAGGAATCATCTAACAAACTCTCTAACATTCTTACTCTTTGGAGTAACATATCCGGAAAAATATTGAAATTAAGCTAATATTGAATGTAAATGAAATCAGGATGATGTTTGACAGTTCAGCTTCGTTTCTGATGAAAGTGTGACATCAGTTCGTTAATTTGGAAAAATCAATTTTAGATTTGAGTTTCGTAGAATTATTATTAATATTAGATGAGATAATCTCTACGTAACTGAATAAAAATGTCACGCCAATGACATTGTCAGTGGGTGGTTCTGATGAAAAGTGAGAAGCATTGACTGACCAACTGACCAAAGAAGTAAATTAACGTCAATTTGACATAAAACAACCATGTGAAAATGACACTGAGTTAAAACGAAAGGGTAGCAAAAGAAAATTATTTCAAGTTTAATCGTTTGGATATCTTTCTTCAATAAATTTCTAAATATCCTTTTTTACCACGTTTTCCTGGGATTTTAAAGCTCAAGTTGCGAGTTTCTATTAGATGTTTGATTTGTTTTATTTTTATTTTCATTCAAGTAGCAAATTACGATCGAATGTCTTCAAGACAAAGCACTTTTAAAATGTTTTCTCCTTAAGGTGTTAAATTCAAAGCACATAAAGAGAGACAACTTGAAATAAATCTAAAATCTCGCTCTTATAGATGAGAAATTCGTGTGTTTGTGGCATATGAAAGGATTTATGTCAGCAAAGTAATGATGGATTCAGGGAACATGAATCTATATAAAAAGGTTTTAAGGAGGCGTTGCGAAGACGTGACATATAATAGTGTCAAAGAGAAAGTGATTTGAATTCAATTTCCGGTCTATTCAAGCTGAAACTTTGACAACTCTTCTTATTTCTTTTGAATCACCAACAAGTTGATGTTGATTCATTCAAGTGTAATCATAGATGATAAAAATAAGTTAGGAGAAGGATGAAATCAGTCACAATTGTTCACTCGTTCTTATTTTTTATTCTTCACGTTACCGTCAACAACATCAGCACGATAATCATGCCCACTTTAAGATAAAGTTGCATCCTTTCGATCAAATTACTAATCACTGTAAATTAACTTCTTTTTAACTTAAAACTTCTAAGTAAAAACTTTGTGAGACACAAAAAAACCAAAAATATCCTTTCACAAAGTAAGAGATAATTGAGTGTAGTCACACAAACAGTTTGTCACTAAATGATAAACTGAACGTTGTTCCATCGACTTTTATATTTTAAACAAACTTCAAAATCTTTTCGTTCCAGATTTCATGGTGAAATGGAAGAAAGTTTGATTTGCGCATATGCCAACATTCCTTCCAAAACTTTCTGTTTTTCTTTTATTTATCACGATGGTTTAATGTCAAACACTTGTTGCTGTCAGTGTCCCAAGAGAAGTTGATCGGAAAAGCCATCTAATTTAATCCCAATTGCGACACAACTGACGATGTTGATGATGTAAATTTCCTTTGAATGCGTCATTTAACACGTCCTTGTTGATTTGAAAGTCAATTTGAAATGTTAAATGAGATGGAAAATTTCTTAAAAGACGAAAAGCTTAAAACCAGAGTTGAGATTTAACATCAGATAAAGATTTATTGGTTCAAAATGTTAGCCAGCATGCAATGAATCCCATTTTTTAGCCCTGATTAAAACAACTTTTTTCTTTATAATTATTTAAATAATATTGTTGAATCACACATTTCATTTATTCAAAGATTTGATGCCATTTAACAAAATAACAAATTGGATCCTTTAATGAAGATTCTTTTAAGCTTTCTACCAACCACGCAATCGTATAATGTTTGCAATGTGAATTGTAAAGTTTACGTAAATTAAACGAACTGTCTTTGATCTCAGATGTCTCATGAAGAACGAGATTTGCATCTTTTGAACTGTCAACACATTTTCCCCCAAGTTTAATGAATTCTTCAATTTCTTTATGGAAATTTTCGTTTATTTTGTCAGGACAGAAAAGTAGAAATCTTTCGAATAATTCACAATTTTCCATTTTAATTTTCTTACTAGGAATTTTAAGTTCTGAGGTCGTCGATTGTCGTTTTAATCTTTTCTTCGTAATTTCGCTGTCGTCGGAATCTTTCAATTTGTTGAGTTCATCAAGATTTACACCTTCCTTCGATTCATTGTAAAGATGAATAAGTTCTTTAAGTGTTGTTGCTTGTTGTGGTGATTTATCACTGCGAACTTTAGTAATTCGAGGAAATCGAATGGAAATTGAACCTGCAGTATGAACGTCTGAGTCTGTAAACTCAGCACCAGTAATCTCAAAAACTGGCATTTGAAAGGGATCCGTCGCAATTGCATTTGGAATCATCGTACGATGAAGTTGAATCCAGTCAGGGAATTTTGTATTTCCATCACATTTCTTCATGAGTGGGCTGATAGTTTTGTGAATATTTCCCATTTCAGAGTCATCTAAGCCGCTATGAACTTTCGTCACAGTTTTCCATAGAGAAGCGTCGTCGTCATAACATCCCATGAGGAAAATCGAAAACTGTCCACCCATTTTTCCTGTTCCATACCAAGCCCCAAGCACCACCAAGTCTGCTGAATCAGCAATCGCTCCTTTCATCAAATAATCTTTCTTTACTTTCAACCATCGACGTTTCCCTGGTTCGTAAATTGACTTCACTCCTTTTAAAACAAGACCTTCGAGTCCTTTTTTTAGAACTTCTCTTGTCATGTCAATCAAGTCATTTTTAGTCTTTAAAAGTTTGTATTCAGACAACACCACTCGATGTTTAATGACTGTCAGATTATCTTCTAAGAATTTTCGTCGCTCTTTCAAAGGCTTTGACGTCAAATCGTTTCCATTAAAGAAGAGACAATCGAAAATAAACAGACAAGTTTCAGCTGATGCAAACTCTTCTTTCTTGTGTTTTCCTAAACTACCGAAAGGTAATGGATCGCCAGTTAAAGTATCAACCATCAAGATTTCAGAATCAAGAATCATATCGTTGCCATGTGGAAATGCTTTTGGCAAGAATTCTTTAAGTTTTGTAATTTTGTGATCCATCACCGGCTTAAGATTTCGACTGAAGAATTTAAATTCGTCATTTTTCTTATGAATCTGAACACGTTCGCCGTCGTATTTAATTTCACTGTAAAAGCCGTCAGGACATTTTTTAATTGCTTTCTCAAAGTCTTTGCAAGGTTCAGCGAGCATAGGCGATATTGGTGTCATTAATTGAAGATTTGAATGCTTTTTAACTCGTGATTTGTGATCCTTTCCAATTTTATTTCCATACGAATTCAGAATGACATCCAAGTCACGAGTTTTTTGGAAGTTCGAGTAGGCGTCTGGGCCTAAAGCATCCAAAACATGTCGAGCACCACAATTCATTTTTAAATCATGTTTAATTAGGCGAATAATAGTTTTCAAATCTTCACAAGTGCATCGTTTGATGAGTGCTTTGAAATGCTCTTCTTGTGGATCCTCCTGAGTTAGCTTGCTAAGATGTTCTAGGAAGTCGTCAACTTCATTCAATGTCAAAGTGCTTTTTGAAGCTGGTTTAACAGTTTTAGAATCTTCAAAGAACTTCGCCACTGTTTGCGATACGTCACCTTCAGATAAATCATCAAGCATTTTGTCATGATTTATTTTAAAAATTCTCGAGAAAAGCTTTACAATTTGTTTGCTTTGTAGATTGTAAACTCGTTTCACAGCATCTTTTGGCATCAAAAGTTTGAGCCATAATGAAAGATTCCCTTCAAATTTCTTTCCTGTACCCTGGAGAAACTCACTGTTATAAAAATATTAAATAAATGAGTTGATGTCATTACCTCAGTCAAAAATTTCTGAAGTATCTTTGACTTGTTCGTATAACTTGATTCATTTGCTATTTTGTTAACTATTCTTTGGAGTTCACTAAACAAATTATCGTTGGAATCATTTTTTTGGTTGTCATCAGCATTATGCAGCTTTGATGGAGCTTCAGTTATTTTGAACGATGGACCAATCTTCTCAATTATCGATTTTTTGTCGTCAGCTGATAAAGAATTCCATCCATCAATTTCATCAGAGCAGGTAATAAATTTGGTTGCTTTTGATATCTTAACTTCAAAGAAACAGTCAAAGTGATACCACATTTTAAGCGGAGTCGAACCAAAAGGGTTGTTGGGATTGATTCGAGCTATCCTTAAACTCCCACTCTATTTAATACAAAATTTTTCATTTAGCTCAACAATTGAAAACAGGAAAAGTTTCACATTCAATTACCTCACATTGAGTTTTACATTTCTTACAATTTGCTCTTCCTTGTTTTGCTCTTTCAATAGCAAATGGTTTTACTTCAGCTTGTTCACTATCACTCATTATTTCAAGGTTTAAAATTATTTTTCACTTTTAAATATTTTTTTGTAAATAAACATTGGAGTCCGATTTTCAGGGGGTAGGAAATGTGGAACAATTGAAAAATTTAAGTTTTGAAATATTAGTGACGGTTAAATTTCTCAACATTATTACGATTCTTCAAGTCTATCTATCGCAATTAAAATTCAATTTTCAGTGTATATCTACCAAACAAATTTTGAGCATCTTCAGCATGGCTCAAGTAGATCTACTTATTTGAAATTATTTTATATTGTTCAATAAGGGCTAATGGAGCCTTCCAAGAATAAATTAAACTACCTAGATGTACATACATTTTCTGTAATTATCGGCAACAAGTTAAAGGAACAAACGAGTAGATACCAATCTTAAACTTTTTTTGTAAATTTAAATCTTTTTAAAAGTGTGATCAAACATTAAGAAAGAAACTTTAAATAATTTTTTTGTAAAGAAGTTTTCAATCTCTCAAATTTGAATTAACACAAATGATGTTAGTACAGATGTTTGTTCAACTTTAATTAAACATTGTATTTCAGACCTCATTTGACACTATTTATTTAATTTAGGATGCCGTAGCTAAAGTAATAAATTGGGAAAACACCTGTTAGCTTCTTTTTATTTGCAAATAACAATAAGCATGGCATACAAAATTATTAAACTGTTTCCACAAAAACAAAATGCGTAATTCATTTCTAAGAATATCATAATGAAATATTCTTTAAGAAAGTCATTTCTGAAAATCATAGAGTGAATTTTTTGTTTAAAAAGCTTGGAAATAACTAAGCATGGATGCAAATCTTTCCAAAATAAACTGGATTTGGTTGAGAACAGCTGCGAAAGAATTTTGGAGAATTTGATAAAAAGGAGAATTTTCCTGAAAATAATTCATGTAATGGTAATTCATTTTATTACTTTTAATAAGTTGGTTAACATACGAGGTTCCTTTCTGTTGATGATTCCGGTTCTGGTGTCTCTGGTTCTGGTGTTTCTTCTGGTTCGAATGGTTCTGGGGTTTCTGGTGATTGAGGCTCAGGTGTTTCTGGTGATTGTGGCTCAGGTGTTTCTTCTGGTTCGAATGATTCTGGTGTTTCTTCTGGTTCGAATGTTTCTGGTGTTTCTGGTGATTGTGGCTCAGGTGTTTCTGGTGATTCCGACTCCTCTGATTCAGTTTCTATAGTAGATTTCAGTTTTAATTTTTAAATTGAATGTAGAGAAAATGTAGATTTCTTTATATTTTGATTTTGAATTAAAAATTAAGTATTATTATTACTAACTTTATATTTTTTTCACTAACCTTCTGTTATAGTGCATTCTACCACCATGCCACAACAACCTTTCTGGGTAGTATTCCGTGAACAAAATTCTATTTCATTGGATGAACTTCCGTAATTACAGGCGTCTACATATTGAGTTTCGACAACTTTTCCTTCTTCGCAGAAGACATCAACACACAGCATACCAGCGTAAAAAAATTCGATGAATTCATTATTGTAAAACGTAGCTCCTTTAAACAAACAAGATAAAGGAACCTCTAGAAGTTTTAGAAAAAAGAAACGATTTATTTCATATTTAAGTATATCAGCAAGGTTTTGATTTACACACCTTCACCAGCTTCCGTTGTTGAATTGCATTTTAATTCAGGACAGCAAGCCCCAGTAAAAATCTCTTCACAATCGTCAGGAATATAATGCCAACATTTTCTGAAGCCCCCAAAGCTTATTGTTAAACCCATACAATAATAGCTCCAACATTCTCCATCCATATATCGACTGTATACATATTCATCAGCCCCATATTCTCTTCCTTCATAAATACAATTCGGATCTTAGGGTATTTTTTAAAAAAAATATACGAAACATTAATTAACAAATAACAAAAAGACTTTTTTTTTTAAAAAAAACAA